CATATAAACAATAAATAGAACATATTCTTCCAGTAATCCAGTCATACTTGTTCTGGCAGCCTGAGCAAGTTGTATACAGACACACAACGCACAGACTTATCAAGATCAGCATTCAGAACTAACAGATCTGATGTGGGGAAGGATAGATCAAACTAGTTTGATCGGATCTGAACTAGGCCCTGGTCGAGCCCAGCGCCCAGTCTTCAGTATCTCCTATCATTTACCTATTATGTATGTAGTGTCTTTGAGTTGATATAATTATCCGATTGACTAAACCTTTCTTCTCCTTTGCCAATTCTCTAACTCTAAAAGGGAAAGGGGCTTGGAGAGTTAATCTTGCTTAGTAGATAGATGTACGGATATAACTTGCCTCACCCGGCGGTTCTGTTTTTAAGACATCAGCCACAATACCAGCAGCAATGTCGTACCTGGAGACAGAGATTTCTCAATTCCAACTGAGACAAGGCTTGGGAAATCATTTGACTCATTAGGTTTTTCTGATTCATGATCTTTGATAGACCAATAGTGAATCATGCTTGCCCAATCTTACTTGGGAGATTTAGTGTACATTGATCGGGAGAAAGGGTCTTGATCGGTTCCGGGGGTGTGGGAGGGTTTTCGTTTCCTCTGGGAGTTTAATACAACAGAAGAGATTAGGGTTGGTAAGTGAGTCTCTGCTCCAGTATGTTACTATCCTCATCTGGCAAGTATCATGCTGTGATTGTTCGGCAATCACCATCCCATCCTATAACATCGTCAGTGTGTCGGCAGAGATGTCTCGATAGATGAGGCGTTGTTTAATCAAGCGTAACTTACAACGGACCAAGAAATACCCGTACCCCGGTATTCGTTTCCGATGTGCCTAGCTTGCACTTGACAAATGACAGAGCTAGGTCAATGCGCTGTCGATTTCAGCAAGTGTCCAGTCACCCGAAATCAGCCGGCTTCGCTCCTTATTTGTGCACCACGTAGTATGCGCCACAAGATATCTACCGTTGGAAACGAAACGAAAAGGGATGACTTGTTCTGTGCCGTTGCAATCACCAATGGCAGGAGATCTTGCATAATTTCCAGGAGATTAACTGAGAAAAGGCCGTTGCTGATGGGGGAACTAGGGGAACTATCGTCATTCAACACATACTTGTCTAGTGACAAGTCTGAGCCATGGTCTCGATGAGCCTATTTATCGATAGTCTGAAATGGGAATTTATTCACCATCGACATAACCTGACGCATACTAGGCAGTGCCTTGGTGATGATGCTCTCCTGAGCCATGTCGGAGACTACACTCGTTGATTTGCCGGGGAAGTGACCGACAGAGCAGGCTTATTCCCTGGATTCGTGGACACGCAAAATAGTTGCCTGCCAAGGACATGAGGTATTCGGGTCCTCCGCTATCGATTACTTGGATGAGCAACTTTTTGTTCATTCGTCAATATCCCCTATTTCCCGTATCCACTCGATCGCGTTCCCGTCGATGGCTCATCAGAAAACCGACGGGCCCGAACCTTATTCTCTCATTTCTCCTTCGTGGTTGGTGACATTTCGTTAACCTTTGTTAGCTTTGAGAGCGCCGATCGGTGGACTAATCCCTGGTGAAATGTCCCTGAGAGTCGATGTTGATCGGAGAACGCAGCAACGTTGGTACCTGCGGTAGTCTTAACAACTTGGAGTATTTGGATATTTCCGTTTTGAGAGGATTGCTCGTGGTTAGTTAGCGATACTATGGTGAAAAGGTTAGACTGGTAGTAAGCTGTCTACGACATTGGCTAGGCCCCTTAGCAGTTTCAGGCACCATGGGCTAACACTACTTCCTTCCTTCCTACCTGCCCTAACGTTGGGCAGGTGCTCTCGAGACCAGTAGACATCTTACATGGTGCTGACCAACACTGTGAGGAATGAACGACTACTGCACCGCACTGTCGGGAAAGTGAGACTCGTGGCTTGATCGCTTTACTTAATAGCCACGATTTAGTCTTTGGCTAGATCTCCTTAGACTCAACCAAGTTTATGCTACCAAAAGCCATAGCTACCTTTAGCACTGTCTTTCGCTCTACTCTATGCCACTTACGGTTTTTGGTGTTTGAGTTTCTCTGGCTCTTGTCTCGTTCTCGACTGCTCTTTCTATAATACGCTCAGGTTCGCCGCTACTAATTTCTGGTTTGCTTGTCTTGGTTCTGTGATCATATATTGACAGGTCTGTATACGAAAGGTGCACTTCGCATCCATTTGACCTAACTTGAATATCTTCCTGGCCATATACTCGATACACCATGGCTCCGCAAAACTCCATCATGCCTCGCGAGGCTCACATCCCGAAGCCCACCCCTATAGGCGGAGACACTATGTCGGTTATCGTCTCGCTTGCCTCCGTCTCGGTCTTGTCAATCTTCCTCTGTACGTCCTTGCCACGATTCGGGTAATATCTGGGGCTGGGACTGACATATATGATGGGATAGTTCAGAGAATCACTGCAGTCAGGTCGTGGGCAAGGTTACCGTTTGTTGCTTGGCGTGAGTACATTTATGGTCCTATTCGGGGCGTATGAGTACTAACGATTGGCAGTCGTTCTGATCATCTACGTCGACTCATACGGTTTTGTCTTTACATCGGCAATTCTCACACAGGTTTTTGGCCTCAACACTAGCTTCAACATTTGCCATGGAGCAATTATCCTATGCCTGGTCTGCTATGTAACAACCAAAATTGTGAGTTCCATCGTATATTGCGCCACAAAAATCCATGACTAACAAAAAGGCAGCTTATCTATGTCTTCCTCGTTGAGAAAGCGGTACGTAACAGGATACAAATCGAAAGTCAATCAAGAAGCCTAACAGTAAACAGCACGTTATCCGAAGCTCTACCACGCGAAGACGAAACTCGGGACTCTACTTGTTCAACATAATCACTCTCCTGGTCGGCTATGGTGTTGTTGTAGTAATGAACTTTGTCTAGTAAGCCAGCCCCTGGAACCACGGGTTTCCTTCTTTTCTCCTTTCCGTCGACTAACCAAATCGTTCACCAGTCGTATTGCAAGAATAGTCAATGGAGAGTGCTTCATCGGAATGGAAAAGATCTCAATGATTCCCCTTATCGCTTTCGATGCTATAGTCAACGTTTATTTGACCATTCTCTTCCTCATTCCCCTCAAGAGTACGTTGAAGCGAATCCGGAAAGATGACAAAACATGCTGACAAAAAGCGTAGACCTTTACTCTTTCAAGAACTTGCCAAAGACCAGTGCCAACTCTCGCCTCCGTAGCGTCGCTATGCGAACTTTTGTCGGTGCTTGCTGCACCCTAACAAGCAGTATTGTGTATGTTCTTTACTACCCTTCTATCAGAACTTGAACTAACAAACTCTGTAGGAATTTAACAGTGCTGATGGTTCTCAACGGTGAGCCCGGATGGGTGTGCCTTATGTGCTGTAACAGCGATGGTATGTCATTATGTCGAAACTTGCAGACTACCAACTAACAAGACTCAGTGCTCTTCTCGGCTATTGTCGTTCAATGGGTCACCTCCCGTGACAATGCCGGCTCCTCCAGCCAGGTCAACTCGGCCGCTCTAGACAACAGCTACATTGGCAGACAATCATCAGCAGCTCATCAAATGAGTAACATCCGAGTATCTAAGGCTCCCAACAACAGTCATGACATGGACGACGAGGCCAATCTCGTATCTCCAGGTGCCATCGCCTTCTCAAGCGATGCTGGCTCAGATGTCACCAAGGTCAGCAGTGGTGTCGTCGTTACCACAACCATCCACCGTCAGATCAAGCCTACGCCCGGCCGTGAAGGAAGCCTTCTTGATGATGATATCGAGACTATTGGCGAATCTGAACGTGAATTCCCACTACGCCCAGCGGTTTATTCCCCAGACAAAATGGATGCCGCCGAGCCGACACAGACCCATATTCAAGGTGGCAGACCACAACACCAACAAACAAAAACACTTTCCTTTTCACGACCAATGAACTGAATAAATGATGAGTACGATTTATAGAGAAGGGGCTATATTGGGTCTATGGTACAAATGGGGAGGGGCGTTGGCAAGATTCTTGGACAGTCAAAAGGTTGCATAGAGGTGGAAGCGAAATACCCAAGTGTTTGTTGTAGATATCATCGAGCGTTGTATAAGCTCGTTCAACTAATTATATATTTTTGCATGATCGATCGTATTCATGAAGCTCTTACAAAACTGTGCCATGCATTGCTTGATTGTGGCGAGGATATCTAGTTATTGACAACACTTAGTTGATCCTCCTCCTCCTCCTCCTCCTCCTTCTCGATGAACCAAAAGCAGGATTAGAATTGAGTAGGTGACTGAATTTGGAATGAAAGTCTCAGATCTTGTCGATGGAATGACAAGACTCAGATGCAGATCTCCCGTGCTTCGCCATAGCATAGCATTCCTTAACTCCCACCCAGCCTAACGGACGCATCGAGACATGATCTTGATCGTAGGTTTATTCAACTGTCAAATGATTCAGAGGCAGGGATAAATCTAAGTTGTGAAACGTTATGATGCACACTCAAGACATTTAAACATCACATGCGTTATTCATCACGAGGACAAACTTAAAATGGTTGGAGCAGTTAAATCGCTGTTCATTGTCATCGTAGCTCGTAGATGTATCTGCGCGCTCAAGTAGAGTAGGTACGTAGTGGTCTATCAAACTGCATAAAATCAGGAAATTGTGTCTACTTGCAAAGCCCCCTTTTTTGTAAGTGTGCGAGGTCCCGGAACTGGTAATAAAAAGGTAGGTAGGATGACCGTTATAAAATAAACGGGGGATACTGAGTTAAACGGTGTGGTAAAAGCCCAGATCCAGGTCACCTAGATGCAGAATATGTACAGAAGTCAACGGGCGCCATGTAAAATCTCTATCCTCCCCTTCCCCTAAAAAAGCCAATTTGAACAGTTGGGTATCCCCCTAGCGAGTGTACAAGAAGTGTTAAAAAGAACGGGTGGCATCATCGGCCGTTAAGCTTGGGTAAGCTTAAGCGGAGGCGTAGACGCTACCGTACTTGGACATCTCGGTCTCGCTGGTCATGAGCATACCGGTCTCGACCTTGAAGTAAGAGTAGGCATCAAGGTAGTCGAGAGCCTCAAGACGAGGGATGGCCTCCTCGAGCCAAGAAGCAATAGCCTCGTCGGAGCCCTTGGGGGCGAACTCGGTGAGCCAGATGGGCTTGCCGCCACAGATCTCGTGGGACTTCTCGAGATGCTCGAAGAGAGTCTCACCGTACTCAACCTCGGAGTACCAGTGGACGTTGCAGAAGTCGTAGTGGCAGTCGTCGCCACACTCCTTGACGAAGTTCTCGAGCCACTCACGACCCTCCATGGGGAGACCACTGTTGGAGATGGAAGGAGCACCGATGAGGGCCTTGCCAGCGTAGGGGTTGAGGAGCTTGATGTGGGCAGCGGCAGCGGCAGCAGGGGTCATGTGAGCCTGGCCACCGTTGTCGGGCTCGTTGAAGGAGAAGATGGCCTTGGCGCCGTTGGCAAGGGACTTGGCGCAGTTGGAAGCGAAGCGGTCGACGTGGACAGCATCATCAGACCAGAGGGTAGGGATGAAGTTCAGGCCGCTGTCAAGACCGCCAGACTCGGAGTCCCAGTTGTAACCCCAGCCACAGTTCTCACAGTTGGAGGCAAAGGTGTTGGCGAGTTTGACGTTGTTGTAGCAGACACCACGCTTGTGAGAGAAACCGGCAGAACCACCGGAAGAAGCAGAGGCAGCCTTGACCTTCTTGGGGGTGCTGGCAGCCTTGACCTGCTTAACCTGCTGGACCTGCTCGATCTTCTTGGGGGCAGCGGCCTTCTCCTCAGCCTTGGGAGCCTCGTAGGCAGACTTGGCAGCTTGAGAAGGCTTGGCGACCTTGATGACGGTGGTAGGCTTAGCGGCAGCGGGAGCGGGAGCAGCAGGAGCCTCGGGCTGGGAAGCAGCCTGGGTAGCGGCAGGAGCAGCGCCGCCGGGGAAGTAGTTGTTCTCCCAAGAGACGACCTGACCGTCGATGGTAGCGACGACTTGGTCACGCTTGTGCTGGTGACGGCCGTGGCGGTGGCCGAGAGCAAGAGCAGGCTCAAGAAGAGCAGCAGTGGCAGCGAGGACGGTGAGCTTGTTGGCGATCATCTTGACTGATGTAGTGACTGTTTGAGTAAAGATCGAAGGTAACCCGGTGTTTTAGATCGTCGGCAGTCGACTTTGTAATGAGTGTGGATTGATATTCGGGGAGTTGATCACTGAGGAGTGAAAGCAACGACACACGAAAGATCGAGGTGTAAGTTGGTAGTTATGTGATCGGCACGGCCGGTTTAGAGAGTGTGTGGATGCGATCTATCGAAGACGCAAATAGATAGTTCTTAATGAAGGGCGAACGACTGATCGAGCGAGGGTTGACGAGATGAAGGAGAGAAGGGGAAGGGAAGTTCGAAACAAATGGGGGGCCTTTGGAGGGTTTAAGAACAAGGAGTTCCTCGTAAGTGAGCAGGCCTGAGTGAGTGGTGTGGTTTAAAGGTGAGTACTTTGGATCGAGTGGGCTGGAATGTATCTTTTCGCCTGCTGACGATCCATGGAGATACCCGAGTCTTCACCTGATGGTTGGTATCTTTGTTTCTCAGACTGTCTACCTGCACTATTTAGAGCCTCCACTGCAGGGGCCGGTTTGGGGCGTTTCTAGTGGGCTCAGGTGAGATGCTTGGAAGTTTCTTGTGTTTCCATTGGCCGAATATTTCTGTTCCTGGCGCCCGTGCCTGAGTGGAACCTTGGCCGGGTACGCCAGACCCCTGACATATAGCGGGTCCTATGCCAGGGGCATCCCCTAATCCTTGTTTGGCGCCTCAGGTTGCATAGAGTCACCTTCCGATTGGGTGGTCCGACCGCTCTCACTGAGAAGTCAGCGACAGCAACAGCAACGGCGAGCAAAAGAAAAAAACATGGGTCAACGTGGCAGTGGATGCATTAGACGGCGCAAGCACAAGCACAACCAGTCAGGTGAATTTATGCTTGCACTGAAACAGCCATTAACAGCGCTATTTCATCCGGCTTTGGTCTAAACACTACAGGTCCAGATTTCCTTACCACACCAATCTGCAGGAACACAAAAACGAGTGTGAGGAAACGAAAAAGACCGCAAACGGCCCAATGATGTTTTAATGGAATGATCCAGTACGGCCTCCTTGGGGCACAATTACTACCACTGTACAGTGCTCTGTAAACTCACCGATGCTGACACCGAGAGCGCACTGCAGTGACAACACGCTCGTCCCCGATAAACTGACTCGACGATCCCACATCAAAGCTCACTTTATCCACAAAGCTATACGGATAAGAAACCAAACGGTCCCCGTTCGCAGGCAGAGATTAAGCCAAGACAGCAAAAGCTTGACCGACCGAGTTTCCTGCCGGCACTTGAATTAGTTGGATCTCGTTCAGCTGTCTTCGAGAACGCCTTTACAGCAAGCGGTCGGACAACCTACACTGTACTGGGTAGCAGGCAGCTGATCCTACCCAGGATGTTTGATGATGGCTCGCCTTGCTCTCATGCTTATTCACATGCCAAGCCCAGCCAAGGTCGTGAATGCACAACCTGCAAGACGTCGACCACGAGAAGCATTATCTGCAATATTACAATTCATCACCGGACTTGATGGTCATTCCAACTACCTCACACCACGGCGCATGATTAACTCGAGATGACGCCCACAAGATAAACAACGCACAAACTGCCACCACCAAAAATCAAATTCTAAAAAAATGGCTGGCTTGGCTTGCTTTTCTGGAGTTGTTCCAAAGTCAAAGTCTCCCAAACCAACCTCTTGGGACACCTGAACCATCGCACAAGGGCTGGGCCACGTCGGCTACTAAGCCTAATTGTCACTTAGCATCCGCCGCGTGAAACAGCTTCCGAAATTACGTCCCGCCGCCACACGAACAAGACATGACAGTTCATGATTCATCCTTGTCTATATTCTACCACTCCTGCCTTCCGAGAACTGACTCTGGCATCCGGGTCCTCGAGTACACAGTAATCCCGTCAAAGGTTACGCTGAAAACGGAACGGACGAACCACGGTTGAGCCATTTTTGGCTCAAAAAGCTTGGTTCTCGATTCCCCGGTCCAACAACCCAAGCACACCAAGGGTGGAAGGTTGCACTCTCAACCGTGTTATCTCCACCTGGACAACTTGGCTTTGTGGTTCCAAGAACGCACAAGAAAAAATACAATGCGCCACTAATGCAGGGTTCTCTTTTCTCTTTTCTTCTTCTTTGTTAACGTGTATCAGCATAATTCGTTTTTTTTTCTTTGTGAAAGTCTTTGTGATTACTGTGCATAATGAAATGGTTGCATTTCCTGCATGTATCAGGATTCAGGCACACAGAGAAGGCAATTGAGCATACTTTGTGCATGCAAGCAAACTAACCAGTGTGTCATGGACTTTCTTCTTCATTTCCTCTTGGCAACTGAACTATCGGCATGTGGCGGTCAAGCTGACGTGTTGCAATTTGTTCACACTTCGTTTCTTGATTTCGACCAAAACTAAGGGGTATTAGATTGTTTACTTGCTTACCTCCGGGTTAGCCTCACTGTAAACATAACACAGCTGGGTCTCTCAAGTGACCGGCTGTTGACAGTATTGATCATCGTGATTTCAGCCCATAAGTTATGGACCCATGGGGCATCTCATCTTATCTTGGGTCCAGATCGCGTCAGGAGATCCCTGAAGACAACTCTGTTGAGCTTTTAATAGGGCTCCGTAGCTCTCCACATTGGATGATCCTGGTCCTTCCAATACACCGTATCAGTGAGTTCTGGAAGGCATGTTTAATCTCTCTGTACGATATCCGTGGGATATTAGTGTTGTTGTTTATACGAGCGCTCTGTTCCCGCGTCCCCGCTGCGGTCTGGGGATGTTGAGTTGGGGGCTTGGGGTCTCTGCTTGATTGCTGGGAATAACACGAACTATCACAGTAGTCGCAAACCCACAGAGCTTAGAGATGGAGAGGCCTCCATAAAGGTAGTGGACTTGTCTCACTAGACGAAATAACATATCTATCATGAACTACACGGTTTAATCTGAGGTTGAGACCCAAAAGTAATGTTGGTTTGTCTTGGGGTGTAGGGTAAGGCACGCGAGAAGGACTGTTGTTTCGCGTTCAAGGAAGAATACTCCAAGATGGTTCTCCTCTGTACCGTTCTATATCCATATCATAACTATGTATTCGTGGTCATGCATTGAATAAGCCATAGTTCATTATTCTCAGTAGTGAGGTAGTCAAGTCTACTATCTCAAAGACAATCTTCCAACAGAGCCTCAACTGAACCAATAAGGGAGATCAACACGAACGGTGAACGGTGGTAAATAAGTGAGATCTTGAAATAGAAGCACACCGTAACATGGCTTAAAACTTCAGGTGAGCTAATAACGCGATCTGCGCGGGGATAATTTACCAATCGTTGTGTTGATGGGCTCTAGCTTTTGGGAAATGAGATATTGACGATCATAGGCGCGCGTTTAATATATCCATGTCTAGGGTGGCAGAATGAATTTCAACGACTTAGAGCACTAGTAAGAGTAAACAATACAACAAAAGTAACGATATTGACATTGATGTTGAATTATGGGTCGTTGTCGTTGTTGTTGCCCGTGAGTTTGAGATAAAGTTAAACGCCAGCAACGGCTGCAGCAGTATTAATCAGGTCTGGGGCCCCGCTTCATTGATGGAGATGTTGAGGTTTTAAGTTATTAAGGAAACATGCAAAGAGACGTCATTCAACTATTAAATAAAACGGTAAAACACAATGTCCACTTCTCAACCTCCAACTTCTATCAATACCGGTAAATAATTGCATAGCACAGCCTCCCAAATAGGGATGATAATGCGAGAAAGCGGCTGAATGATGACCCGTCACGCGTGCGCCCTGTTTGTTAGGGAGAATCAAGACAACAGCGAATGATAGAACAAGCTGTTCAGCTAGTTCAAGCCACTTTATAGCATCGTCCACTACAAGCTTCTACACGTGACAATCTGATATGCTGATTCGCCATGTTGAAGCTATCAAGTAGTTGATGCCTTGTGAATGACAAGACCTCACTTTCTTTATCCCTCTTAAGAATCAATGATTCTATTGAAGTAATCGACGACTTCTGAATGTATACACTACCATTTACTAAACTTGCATCGCACCCAGCAATACCTTGCAATGGACATGCCACAAGAGTTCAGCCCGGGATTGTTATCATTCCCCGACCAAGACTTTGACTACAGCGCTTTTCTCCAAGCAGATGACATAACCTTTGGCGAAAGCGCTCAAAGTCAGGTACAGTCAACTTCGGATTCATCAGACAAAGCAACACCGCCAAGGTCAACTTCAGGGTCCAGCAGCGAAGTCGCTGTTCGAAGACCGTCGGCTCAGAAACAAAGACTTGAGCGGAGAGGTCACACAAAGAGTAGGAGGGGGTGCTATAACTGCAAGAGAAGACGTATCAAGGTATGCTGTGTGTCTTGTATTCCTAGCTTAATGTTTCATTATGTGGGTTAACGTATACCAAGTGTCAAGAGACTCATCCTGCATGCGGTCATTGTACAAAGACTGGACTCAAATGCGAGTATCCGTCTACGCCACAGATCATTCATCAGGTATTTGTTCATCTGCTGGACTCAAAACATAACTAACCAAGATGGATTGCAGCCACATCAACAGATTCCATTGTTCAGTCTCCAGGATATGCGCTTCTTCCAGCACTTTCTAACACAATGCTATCCTCATCATCCTCTAAAACAAGAGGACATCTGGACACACGAAATACCTTGTATTGCCCACAACGTGTGTTTCCCTCAACGAATATAGATAGTTTGTGTACTGACACTGCCAGAATGAATACCTCATGCATGCCATTCTCGGCTTCTCCGCATCCGAACTCATGAGAAACGACCCTAGCATCTTACCATCAGCCATGAACCATCGCATCAAAGCCATAAGAGCCATCAAGAAACGCCTTGCAGAAACTACCAAATCTTCAATGAACTATGAAGAAGCAAATGCCATGGTAGCTACCTGTTTTGCCCTGACATTTCAATCTGTCAGCCTCGAGGACGGACTGGCCGAGTATCTAACTTTTATCCGGGGAATCATGATTGTAGGAATGCAGATGATGTTTCGGGGTATTAAACCTATATTTGAGAATATGCTTGAACAGGAGCAGGATTCACTGCTTGAACCTCTCATGCAAGGTCTTCCGCTTATCCCAAAGGGCTTTACAGATTCTGCGATTGAGGCTCTTACGAACCTTGGACCGTTGTGCGCAGAGGGGGTTGAGCTTGAGTACCATCAACATCTTGTGACAATGGTCGAGAAGCTATACGTCAACTCCTGGGATGGTGAGTCTTCCAAACCGCAAATATAACTGAAATTCACCTAACTTGGTTTTGTAGCGTACAAGGCATACACAGCGCAATACGGATGGTGGATGCTTCTCCCACACGACACATTCCAAGCCCTTATCGACCCGGATAATCAAGTCATGCTGCTCCTCCATACGCATTGGATTGCTATTAATGAGATCATAACGCCCATCAGTGGACAGGAGCGCAACGTGTCTAACAAGTATCCTCTTGATCAACGAGAGGGAAAGCCGGATCTTGACCCTGGGTTTTCGCGGTGGTTGAAGTATCTTAATCGGAGCATTGATACAGAACACCAGGTTTATAACCAGTGGCCAATGTGGGTAGAGGAGCAGCTTGATGGTGATATGACTTTCTTTGGAAGAGTTGCATGAGAGATGAAGACAATGTAGTCCTTGGGGTTATAGGAAACTTAATGCTGCTCATATTAAAGAGAATGGTTCAGTTACTTTATACTATTTCACCTGCTCTCATCAGGGTATCAGAAAAGTTAGCCGGCAGAAACATGGAGACGAAGTCAGTAGGCTACTTTATGCTACTTAGACCATACTTCTTATGTTATTTATTTTTGTAGCCTAAAGTTTCAAGGTCAACCAATTATCGCAGTATTAAGCCCCTGAGGTTTGTAGTAAAGGTGAATATGTACAATTACCTCATCCTACGTCTTTATTCTTCCTTTCATCGGCACTGCCTCAGCAAAGCCCCTCACATATCGTTTCTCGCATTCGTCGTATTGTTCTGTGTGGGGGTGCTGGTCACAAGATGCACCAATCATGGCCACAGGGCTGAAAGATGCCTTGGGCTCTCCGAGAAATATTGCGCTGTATTCTTCGGTTTCAGCGAAGATCCAATTGTAAATCATTATCATACTCAGGTGACATAAGGGAAGTTGCGTAGTATATATATCGCCTGTTCCGGCCTTGGAGATGGAGATACGGAAGAGTGTTCAACGATACTTACACAAGAGAGACCAGAACAAATTCGACACTCTTTATCAATACTTTCAAAAATTACACAACATGGCTACAAAGACTGAGACAATTTCTCATTCAGTATTCAACAATAATGGCTGTTCTTCTACACATTTGTATCTACCTCCCGATTATGAAGTAACCGAAGCCATCGAGCTATCCCCCATCTCACCAGCATCCTGCTCCACAAACTCTCTCCCCGATTACACAGACATATACAACAATAACACTTCGAATCCCGAAGCAACTGACTTCTATCCTACCAAACAACTTCAGATCCAAGCATCCGGATTACCTCTCATCAGGCTGCCTTTACCCCCACAGCCAGATCCCATCTACATCTTCAATGTCGCACCAACAGGAGACATAGAGGAAGCAGAATACGTCTCTATTCGACCAGCTCGTAATTCAGGATCATGCTTCCTAGCCCGAGCAAACGATTGCGCACAAATACCACTTTGCACGACGACATATCGCTTTGGACCAGGTAAACCTCCCAAGATCCGTCTCGAAACAGAATCACAGAACGGAAAAACAGAGGATATAGAGATCAGTTGCAAGGGAGTCTTGACCCGTAGCGTAGTTATGCGAACTCATCTCAATACCTTCGAATGGCGATATAGTTCCCGCGCTGAGCGTCGTGCCGTACAAACCTCTGTTGGCGAGCAAGTCGACTGTTTGCTCATTCTCGACCAGGTGATCAAGGTAGCTGTCGCAGGTGGGAAACAAGAGGAGCGAAGACGAAAGGTTGGACAATTTGTGCGAAGCAGTGGACTTCGTACTCCCGGTTCTAAGAGAAGTACTGCTGGAAATGGAGGGCGACTTATGCTTGACCTGCGTGAGTGGATGGACAGAAAGGAGGAACGATCAGAGATGGAAATCCTTGCCACGGCAAGCTGTGTGTCTATGTTGAAGAAGGAGGTTGACAGAAGGAGGATGCATCAGGCTATGGCGATCATGGGAGGTGCTTCTGGTGGCCCCTAAATCTTGGAATAAGGAAACTGATGGTTGAGATCATGTATTAAGTGGGAGCTCTGAAGAGTGTAAGTCCATTATTGTTAGACGTTATAGAAATTATTACCTGTAGTAAACTCAGATACCATTCCCTCAAGGTATCAGAAAAATCAACCGCTGGAAGCATAAGAGATTAAATTAGTAGGTTACTTTATGCTTCTTAGACTATAGTTCTTAGACTACGGATTCCTATACCCTAAGACTTAGGACGTCATTTTTTCTGCTACCCACTAGCATTCCTATCTTTAATCATATTGCTCAATCTTGCACATCAGCCACCGCAGTTTTCTCCCTAGGTCCTAGCTCGAGCACCTCTGTTGAAACAGTCTTGGCCTTCTCATCCAGATTTGCATTTTCAAGATCCTTCTTACTGCACTTGCACTTATACCGCACCGTGCATCCTTTCTTCTCACCAATAAACGGGTCACTGCGACAAGATTTGCCAAACAGCTCCAGAAGCAGGACCCAGATGGTCAGACCCAAAGTGATGGATATAAGATTCAACGAGTTGAGACTCTTGGCCAAAGGAAGACAGAACAGGATAATGCATACGACTGTTCGATTGGCTAACCGAGTCTTCTTGGACAAACGTCGAGTTGCTGGATGACGGTGGTCGTGACAGGCTGATATGACTCCCATGAAGAACAATGCGATAGCAAGGCCATGGCAATAGAAGTACCGAATACCATTGGCAATCTCGGGGTCTGCACGCTCAATGTAGTGATCCGTCAAGTGCTCGGGGTTCGCGCCAGGAGTATCGGCAACCAGAACGAGTTTGGACAGTCCAGCAGAAGCTAGGATATAGCCCATGATGAAAGGGAGATGCGCATAGTGCCATATCGAAGCTGGATAAGTTAATACATGCATAGAAAACTAGAAGAAACAGGCGTGGAAAGAGACGAAAAAGGGAACTCACAGGTATACACGGCCCGTCTAATGGCATGTACGTTGATGTTGCTTCCATCAACATCAAAGTAAATCCAGTTAAAGACAAAAGCCTGACAGAGCCCGAGAACAGCCTTACCCAGGAACACATCAACTGTATAACCTCCATGGCTCTGAAACATAGGTCCCATGACAGAATACCCAAAGACTAAAGACACAAAGGCGTTGGTCCGTTCAACCCGATGCTCAATGTTGACGGCTGGAAAGAATTCAAAAAGACTATTAAGATACCTGGCAAATCTTTTAGGCTGTGAAGTCGTTCGACCCCATTGAAATAGTCCCGTCAGGATACTTTGACCACACATGTCCAGGGCGATGGCAACCCAGATAAGTCCTAAACGAGAGGGCATCTCGACATGAATACTTGCGATCCAGATAGTGGCAGGAACAATGATGTTGATGGCCTGACAGACCATAACACCGCGGACCATTGGTAGAAGGTAAGCAGTATATAAGAAGTGTACGATACCTCTGAACCTAGCGGCGACGTAAAAAGACACAAGCATTGTATACGTGTTGTGTTCTCCCTCGTAGAAGGCGTAGGTCATGTTGGTTGAGAACCTATTCAGTTAGATATATGGGTTTCCTTTTTGGAAGTCAACGTACCCCAAGAGACATGCAATCTCGAAAAGAATCTCAAGTCGGGTAAAGACGTCGTCTGTCTCGAACCAACTCAAGATCAAGGTAATGTCGGACCAGATCTTCCACGACATGATAAAGGTAATTGCAAAACGAAGCAACTCTTTGCCGGTCGGTTCTGCCCAGACGTGTTCACCATTGACGTGGATGATACCGACTGTCATTTTTATTTAGGACATACACACCACAATGTATCGGGATGCTTACCGTATAGAAGATCAAAGAAAAGCTCAATAGCCATGATTTCAGTATTTTCTGAAGCACGCCAAAGCAGACCTTTGTGAAACCATTGCTTCACGACTGGCTTTTTGAAGAGTTTGATCGTTTCCCCCAATCGAGACTGACTGCCACTGGACCCAATAGATAGTGTATCAGACGTAGACATGTTGGATGAATCGACACCGGATGCAGGCTCATCATCATCGTAAGTTCTTAATTCAGCGCCGTAGCCAAACTTGTCGAAATTAGCATTTAGATTGGATGTGTTGGTAGAAAGTCGTTGCAGATGGCCGTTGACTAGATCAAGCTGGCATTGCATATCTTCCCACTCATCAAAGGCAGGGCCGTGTTTTTTGCGAAAGTGATGACGGCGACCTTCATGATGATCCCGTGTTTCTCTGAGATAGTTGTGATGCTCTTGTGATCCATGAATAACAATCTCTACCTGGACATCGTTACGATCTCCATGTTTTTCGCGTAGTTCATCAATGTCTTCTGGAAGAGAAGCGATTACCTTTTTCCCATTGGGAAGGGTAAACTCTTGCGGTCGCCGACGTCGAGTAGAAGGTATAAAGGACATTTCGCAAGAAATAAGTGAACTTGCAAGGTTGAGAAAGACAACTCATCTCCCTTTCTTTATATGAGGAGGAGCTGAAGAGCTGCAAGATAAGCACAGAGACCAATGGTTTAAGCTCATTGGGCGGCCGCCTCTGTATTAGCCCCTGCTATTTTGATGCCGCTACTATTGGCCTTTGGTGATGTGGTCTCACGTCCTATTCGAGTTGAAGCTGCACAACCCATGCATGCTTGGGATAAGCATGTTTCGCTTAAGCTTAATAAGGCACGAGTAGCCATGACTAAGAGAGTGAAGATGATTTTGTTTATTACCGTTGAATATCTATAAGAAAGCAATGCTTTAATGTGAAGGAATGTTGGAGGATTCTTAGCTTGTACCTCTCATACAAGCTAGAGAGGTAAGTAAGTGCTATACTGTAAATTGGCCAAGAGGAAGCAGAAGACTTAGCCTCAGGCTTAGTATATGAAAGTGAATAGCCTAAGATATTATTAAACAAATTATGTTTTCTTTGGTAAGTACCCATTTGGCAAGTCTTCTAGCATCCCTTTAATGAGCTGGTACTGTAAATTGGACCAGGTCTTTCGGTTCACTAACACGATCTGACATCACGTGATGCATCATCACTTCCGGCTGTTTCCCGGCTCTAGCAACAAATGCGGCCTAAGGCTACCATTCTAGCTCTGCCGTCGTCCGGTAATTCGGAGTAAAGATTCAGCCATCACCAACTACCAAAACCAATTCCCTCCCAATCCAACCTCCAACACCGCCAAAATGCCCGCCGCGTGGAGAGCCGCTGGTCTTACGTACGTCAATTGAACTCCCAGATATTGCCGAAATTATCGCCTGCCGTCGAGCGACCCGTTCAACAAGCACCGAGAAGCTAACATTGGTCTTTCCCGATAGCTACAACCGCTACCTGGCCGTTGCCGCCCGCGTTGTCCGCCGCAGCCTGAAGGAGGACAAGAGAATCATTGCCGAGCGCCGAGGCGAGATGGATCTGCGAGTTTCCAAGTGGCAGGTAAGGCGATACCAAACTTGCGAAAGATGAGCGAGATAGAGAAAGCGACAAGATTACTAACGGGTAAATTACCTCAACAGAACGGCAAGCAGGGCGAGATGCAGAACCTTGCTACTGTTAACGCTGCCATCGCCGCCGAGAACGCTTCTTAAGAAAATCGATACGGATAGATGATTGCGTACGGGATATTGGAAGCATGGCGCCTGAAGGGGATTGCTCGGCTGGTATGAGATGGAACTTATTCACAAAGAACCGCCGATCGCATGCACCTGGTGTCACTGTATCATAAGGATTGCTACAATATATCAATCAATTCAAAAACTACGATTGTAATTGCGACGTCAAAATTGCTGTAAATGAAAGTGTTTGTCGTGCTCTGAACAAATTGTATTGTCATGATGGCAGCGGGACGCATCTCAACTTTCTGAGCACCCGGCTACTGCCGACTCTCCACAAAAGCCTTCGAAGAACAACCAACATATTAGCAGTTCACTTTGATGACATTGATTGCCATGATTTTGTCTGTAAACTTTAACGAATCTCTAAGCCAGTGCTTTATTGTAGATGATATTTGACCAAAGTTTAAATGATTCAATAATCTACCTATCACCAAACAAATACGTAGTGGTGGAGCCATCATCAACCGATGAGAGACAGGACCATCCCTTCTCACAAGTCAACCAACTTACTGTCAACATCTAATCTAATACCAGACTCTCAACGCAAACACCAACACGCACAAATGATGCTCGGGCGACAATATTAATTCATAATAGCATCTCTTTTCGACTTACTCTACGGATATGGACGACTCAGTTATTCCTGATGGTGGGTGCCCAACAATACTTACCCTACCTTACCTCACCTTGAATTATGTCAAAGTCTGACCTGACGGCACAGATATTGCGAGATTATCGCTGAACTACCAATATGAACCTCCACCTCCGCCCCCTCCAGATATAATGATGGCGGGAATAATCGCTGTAGATATTACAGATAAATTCAAAGAAGCTATCAACAGTAAGTTTTCATCCTTGGCCTAACCCCGCCATTGACTGACTGACTCTTTTCTTTACCACAGCCCTTGCACCCGGAGATCTCGTCAAAGATGAAGGCTTTACCTTGTTTGATTCAGTTGCGGCTCTCGAAGTGAGATTTTCATTATCAGACCACCGGATCTAAGGCTAATGTGTGTAGATCATGGACCCAAAGATGGACAGTGGTTGTGTCGAGTCACCAGATGAGCTTGAGGAGCTCTACGACGTCAGTCGGCCACTTCTTCCCGAGGAAGTTCTGGGGATCATAGATCAGCTACTCTGCCATGAAGTAAGAGAACTATTTATACGAAAAAAGACAAAAACTAATTTGTCTATCTAGATGGCCTGGCATCAAGGATACCCTCTGTCGCAGACTCTGTTCACCAGCATATATGCTGAAGCCCTTCTGACACCTACGCCCCAGACTGTTCAAGATGCTCGTTTCGTCCGAAATGCAACTGCTGAATCTTCTGGAAACTCCAACATGCTGGAAATCCTAAGGGCGTATTGCCTCGGTCTGTTAAAGGCCTGTGGTTATGTCAATGAGCGCATCAAGTCCGAACACTACTATGAAGTGAGCAGGACTGGAATTCGCCTAGATACTGAATCAGCTGACATACTTTGTAGGAGGAGGACTTTGTGACAAACACATACCACCGAACACTTCTTGCAGAGATACAACCTGAACACATTCAGCATGTTATCCAAGAGGCGAGAACTTTACTCGTCACACTGGGTGACGAAATCAGCCATGCTCTCAGACAGGCACTCGACCAGCGATTGCAGCTAAGGTCGTATTTCCTGAAAGCGACAGAGTGTCCCAAACACATGAGAGAGCCCGATGTAGCGAGACAACCATGGTTGGAGTGTCTCAATCTCCTCCCTGGCATCAAGGCTTCTCATGATCTAGGTCGACCTGTTGATGACGCCTTCAGCGCCAAGCTCCAAAGGAAGCTTGCCAGCACTATGCCTCCGAGACCAATTGTACAACTAAAGTTTGAAGATGCATTTGGACACTTGACAAGACTATTCTCAGACGGCGCTGAACTAATCGATGTTCTGAACTACACTGACTCTCAATGTCTACAGGTAAGATATGAAGCCTCCTTAAACAAGACAATGCTGACAGTCCTTAGAACTTTGTCTATTACTTCCAAGCTAAGAAACCTCAACCACTGGTCTTTGTACGGACTCTACTTCAAACTTTCCTATTTAATGAGATGGAAGTTTTAGGGTCAATGAGCATCCGCCAGATACTAGACGACGACTTCTCCATCGTGACGCTACCAGCCAGCGTTCAGCTTGACCGTAACAACGATGAGATCGAATTTCCTCAAGATCCCCGCTTCATAGTTGCTGAACAAATGGAGATGTTCCGCAAAAGAGCAGCGCAACCTTTCCTCGATATCTTTAGGACATACTGCCAGAATCGATGCCGTGTGCGGCGCACACTATGCCATGTCATCAGAGACTGGGAAAATCTTCAGGTTGACGCCGAGGAGATCGATCAAAACATTCAAGTCAAGTTGAGCGAGGAGCCTATGAGACGGTTGACAGGCACAAACAGTGTTCCAGTTGAGACTTGGTCCCTTCCCCTGTCGTCCTGGACGTACCTGTACAAGCTCCGCCAGATGGAAACCATCGTGCAGCTTGGCTTCGAGCTGGAGGTCTACCAACCAGACGAACTTGCCGGCATGTACTGGTATCTCAACTACCTCGCCAAATGGAGATTACAGCATGGAGAAAGGATCAAGTCCTTTATTGTTCGCAAGGTTGAGGAGTCGCGCGCATCCTCTAAACCTCGCGACCCCACCGCCGATCGCCAACTCGAGCGATCTCTTGCCTTTGTTCGGCTTACGCTTCTCGATGCTGCTGTCACATGGGAATTAGCAGATGCGCTCTCATGCGCCTACACCGTGTTGTTGCGACTCAAGCTAGTCAAGCTTCCACCCAGACCGTACAGTAACGATGAACTGCGCTTTGATCTACGCATGAGACCGTTTGCTGTGATCGGTCTTCCACCTCTACCCAGCTTCCAAGAATTTACACAGGGAACCGCACAGCCAGAATCAGCCACAACAGACATCCTTCACTACGCAGAGAGGGCACTCAAGGGTGCGAAGCAAGGACTCGAGGCGTTGAGTAAGATGCCTGCCCGAGATGCATTTTCAGTCGGTTCTCACGACAAGTGGGTCGCTTCCAAGAAGAATGCTCTCAAGGCGTGCATCGCGACGGGACTCGCAATTACGACATTGCAGAAGGCATTGGAAAGGAGGGAAGATGACTTGAAGATCAAGGCCGAGGTGCCAACTCCGGATAAGTGTTATCACGACTGGTGGATTGTGCCTCGCATAGTTCCTGTTTAAGATGTTCAATGATGTATAATGGGCTAAAAAACAAGGGAATAAATTCAGTATGTGTTTCAAAACTACAAACATACATTTGGGTATCCAAATGAGAGTTACATCCTTGACCAGCCATCCTGCAGCAGGCCTGCCTCTCAACCCAAGCAGACCGCAACCCATAATCCAAACAATACAACGCCATTTCCACAATAGCAGTTTCCGAAATGATGACCAAATGCATTCTCACCGTATATGCTTTTCGATATTGGGACGGATACTGATAATGATTGGAGGTCTTTAATACTTTGATATCAATATGGGTCTTGTGGGACCAGCCTTAAACTAACGTTAAGGTAGCTTAAGCGACGCGACGGCGAGCGGCCTGAGCCATTCGAAGACGCACGGTCTGCTCATAAAGGACGTCCTTGAAGGCGAAGAGAAGAGCAGCAGTGAGTACACTCTGGGTGACCTTGGGACCAATACCTGTTGATTACAGTTAGCGCATTGTCAGATAAAATAGGCAAAATACTGCTTACCTCGGTAGAGACCAGAATAACCACTCTCGCGCACGATGCGTGAAAGAGCGGCAAGAGAACCCTCCTTCTGGCCACTCTGAACGTGCATCTGAGACTTGACGGTGATGTATGGGTAGGTGATCGCAGTAGCGAACAACTTGCCCAGAGCACCGAGGAAGAAGGCGACAGTAGGAGTCACCTTGCGACGCTTCTCGACCGTGTTCTTCAGCTGCTCGAACAGAGTGTACTGAAGAATGGGGTTGATGACGAGTACAAGAGCCGGGATGACACCGGCGAAGAGAGCCTGAGGACCCTCGTTCTTGAGGAGCAGCAACAGAGTGCCGATGGTGCTGGGAGCCTTGGCAGGCTGGGAAGACTCGCCGGCCTCGATATCCTTCTTCTTCTCCTGCTGGCGGGTGGTGACTCGGGTGTTGACAACCCAAATAGGGTTGGTGATGATAACGGTAGCGGAGCCAGCAATAGCACCAGCAATCATCGTCTCAACGGTAGTAAGCTTGGAGCCAGCGCGACCAGCCTTGGCAGCAGCCTTCTCGAAGAAAGCGCGGGTCCATTCGTACCAGTAGTAGTAAACAAAGTTGGTAATGCTGATACCGAAGAGGGCCGAGTTAATACCGGAGTACAGACCCGAGACACCTTCACGGGCGATGATATTGCCAACAGCCTCGCTGAACTTGCTCTCGGCCTTCTTTGACTCGACCTGGGCGCGTGTAGAGAGGGTGATGAGAGGGTAGCTTTTAGACGTGGTCAGCGCATTGCGTCGCATTGGAATGCGACACGGGTATCGCTGATAACTTACGTCAGGATCATGGACAAGAGACCACCTCCAGCGCCAGCAAGAGCATGGGCGACATTGTCGTTCTGAGGGATGGCGGGAACCTCTGGCGCCTTTTCAATCTCAATCTTGGTTGGTGTGATCTCGACCTTTGTGACAGGGGAGTTGATCTCAGGAGTGGTCTCCTTGTCGATGTTGTCCGACATGATGGCGTTTAGAGAAGTATATAAGTGACTGTCTAAAAGCAAGGGTAAGCGACAAGCGCGTTAAAGTTTGTTGCTTGAATTGAATTGATGAGAAAAGAGATGAACTGGGGAATGTATTATTGAAAACCTGGGGAACCTACAGTTATTAGTTGCGCGGGGCCGTGCCTAATTATGTATGGGCTGTAAGTAGTGACGCCCGTCTATCTCGGCAATGGCTGATGTCTCAACTGGAAATGCCTAGGGACTCCTCCTGTAAGGCACAAAGTACAGGAGGTGCTCCTCTAAATATACCGAGGTCGGGACGGGGCACGATTCCGAGCATACATCCCTAAAAGTCGGCCACTGTTCCGCATCTGAAAATGAGGTCACCTCCCAGCATGTGACGTGGGGACGGGGAAAAGACATGGGCCGGTAAACTAGACATCTTTACCGTGCAGACATTCCCCTAAACTTAATCAGGCAGTTATTCTGAGGACTGTTTATCACAAAGAACCAAGATTCGGGAGTGAAAGCGTCGGAGCCAAGGAAAAACAAAAGATGCGAAGATTGCAATGACGCTAGTACAAAACAAGCTCAAAGTCAACATGTGCCGCCACGTCGACCCCGGTCAATGATCCTAACCCACACCGCGGCGGGTTGGTTTGGTTTTGCAGCAAACAGATGGTAATAGTTAGTGCGCGCTTGCCTACATGCATTCGGCACTTCACTTTACATTCCATTCCATGAATGAATACCACCAAAATATTAGTCGTCGATGCGAAAGCGCAAGAGCTTAGCCGCTGATTCCGACTCTTTCACCGTTCGCTGGCAATCAGTGGTCGATATGAACACGCCCAGCGCGGATATTATGTCCTCGCCAGATCCACTTAACGATACCGTTGAACAGCCGCCTCGGAGTCAAAGCAAGGCTCTAAGTGCCGTCCCTCCTTCGACCACGCGTCGTATAATTCGCAGCAGTCAACGGTCCAGCCGATATTCATCCACCGGAATAGGAACTTCGCCTAGGAGGCAAACTTTCGAACTCGAGGTTGGAGATAACCAGGCACCCCAGAGATTATTAGTCACCGTCGAAACCGAGGAACCGAGCATGTCGGCCGGGCCTAGCAGCGCGCGTCGAAAACTATTCCAGGACAGTCCTTACATGCCTGCAGCACGACGGAGAGAAATGGCTACCACTACGACGACAGTTCCGTTAAAGAAAGCGATCGAGGAGCAGGACCAGGATCCTAACGCGACTCCGAGAAAACGAGGTCGCCCGAGAAAAACAAATGGTACGCCGTTACCAAGCGCAGGAATCAAGAGGAAAGGAACGCCAATAGCGGGGAGTCCTCGAACACGGCGGCGTACAACAAAGGATACAGACACAACAGAAACTATTGCGCAGCCTACGCCAGGCACGAAACGAAGGGGTCGACCTCCAAAAAATCGATCTATCGACTTGGGAGGCCAGCAAACTTCAGGAACAACTTCAATATTGAGAGGCGCCCGACAAAAAGAAGATCTACTCGATGAGCTTGCAGACGCCTACGATCTATCCGAACTTCCTCCTATACGCGCCGATGACTCTCAAGCCGATAACGATGTGACTTTGGTAATTACACCATCGGAAGCTGAGGCAAATCAGTTGCGCGCAAATCGAAACGCCCACAATATCGCGCCTACGCGACAGTCAGAACCTGACTCGGATATCTGGATGGCGACATTAGACGATGAACCAACTCCCAGACCCGCAACCAAAGCTGCAACCGGACCTTCAAGCCCAGAGCGTGGCCGAGATGGTGGTTCGTCAGATTTCGGAGATTATGGATATGGACCTGCTGGAAGTGACGTTTCCTCTGCAGACGACCATCAGAGCGACACCCGACCTGGAACCGATGATACAGTCGCAGCGGGCGAAGACTTTAGTATGATCTTTATGGATTCATTGCCATCATTACAAGCGAGCTTGCGCAGTTCGACGCAACAACAAACCGAAAACGATATTGGCGAAGAAACGAGCATGATTATCAACAACACATTGGAGTCACTACGACAATCTTTGCAGGATCGCAACAGGCCTAAAAATAGCCAGGAGACTGCAAAGGAGGGGGATAAGACCGAAGCAGCTAAAGAACCCGCACCAGAAGAACCACAACAGAACTTCCGACAATCCACTATTCGCCCACCTCTGACATTCTCACCCAAACCCAAACTGTCTTCCAAGTGGTGGCAGAGCCCTCGAAGAATGGGTTCTTCACCTTTGCGACACCAGGTGCTCTTAAAATCGAACGTACCTGACGCCCCTGAAACTACCGAATACCGTGGATCCCCCCTTGCTTCCAACCATCATGACGCATCTCACCTTGAAAACGAAGACTCAAATGCCTACGACGATTCTTTCTCGGAGATTCCTGATACTGTGCTTACAGCAGCTACACCCAGGCGCCCCCGAACGAGCACTAAAAAGTCACCAAAGGAAACCGAGGATGTTCAAATGGAAGATACGCAGCTTGTTCAACTTGAAGATGAGCCTGAAGAACAGGCCCCCGAGGAGCCAGAAGTCGAAGAAGAACAACAAGAGGAGGCCAGTCAGCCAGCAGCTTCCAATGCAAGCGCTGCCTCTCGTTCTGATGCAGGGCGTCTTCCGACCCCTGACGATACATCTTCGAATTTCGAAGTTGAAAGTGATAACAACCAGAAGACGGGAGCTGGCTCACGGAAGTCTACTAGACCCAACCCAATCAGGGGTTCTTCGCTAAAGAATCCATCACCTGAGCCTGTGACCCAAGTCCAAACGGTATCAGAGCCTGCGGATGAGATTATCAATGAGTTTGCGACCGAGGAGGCGAACAAGGACGATGATCTTTTGATAGATTTTGATGCTCCTGCCCAAGAGCCCGACGATCATTCGGATGCGGATCACCAATTCCTGGACGAACCTGATGATCACTCTGATATGGATGAGCAAGTTTTCGAGCAGACTGTTATAGCCGACCCTGTCGAAAAAGAGGAAGAGGAAGAAGAAGAAGAACCCGAAGTGGTACAAGAGCTACCTAAAGTTGTCAAGCCACACCAGCCTCGATTCTCTTTGGAAGCCGAAATTCAGCAACCAGAGGTGACACCGATGAACCAGCTCACATCACCTATTCAAGAACCTCAAACTTTACCCGAACTCATGTCAGAGAGGGCCAGGCGCCCTACGCTATCACCTGCTGTTCGAGCAGGTCGCGCTTTGCAAAGTGTAACATCAGATCCTCCATCGCCTGAGGCTCGTGATCAACATTTGCGAAGCCCTTTTAGGAGTTCTGTTCCTAGAGACTTAGGACAAAGAGAATCTCAAACCATGCGACGCACAAGTGCCAGTCCTGGGAACTCGCGTGCTGTGACTGAAACTGCCCAGATCTCGCGGAGCAACGAGACCTATGACGATCCCTTTGGAACCAATACCAGACACACAGGTCAACCGAGCTTTATGGAAGCTCTCGAAAGGAGCAGTCGCACTTCCTCGCCACGCCATCGACGAACAGCATCTAGGGATTCTGCAGCCAGTTCGACGCATTTCCAGGCTCCTAGCGAGGGTGGTATGAGCTGGGTACAGAACGAAGGTCCCATTAGTCCCAACCTTCGTGGGGATGTACCTCTTGAGGCCTTTGCGCGTTCAACAGTAAGACAAGCTGCCCCACCTGCTTCTCGCGATCAGGCCGACCAAGTGGCGGATGTTGCAGATGATGAGACTGAAGATGCGGTTGATGATATAGACTTGTGGGAGTTTGAGGCGCAGAGGTCAAGTCCTCGAGCAGCCCCGCGACAACCTGCAAAGAAGCCAGAATCGCCTTACCGCATACGGGGCAAGATACCGAGCTCTTGGGGTAAACAGACTGCCAGGGAAACACAGCAGGATGAAAACATTGATCAGAGGACAATGAGTGAGATCGATGAGACCGAAAATCGCCAAACAGACGCCATGGAGATTGCTACTGAAGACCCGCCTCGAGCAGAAGAGTATTCACTTCTGAATAAATCTCAGGCTGCCAAAGAACCCAAACAAGGTCCTGGCACTACCAAAGGGAACCGTTTCGATCTGTCAGCTTTTTTCTCGTCTCCGGGTGTCCTCCCAGGAATGCTGGCCGAAAAGTTCTCGCCTCTTAAGAAGTCAGTCTTTGGAGCACGGCCTGCTGAGCCTGAACCCGAGCCCGTGGAGACAACACAAACATTACCGACAAGCTCCATGTTTCCACAGGTGCCTCAGCAAGAGCTTTTGCCTCGAGGCAAACCAAGACTTGGTTTCTTCTCACCCGTCCGCCCTGCTCAACCAGCAGCGAGACAAGAGCCATCTGAGCTATCAGAAGAGGAAACAAATTCTCAATCAGAGCCAAGGTCCAACCAATCATCTCCAGATCGTCGCTCTGAGGCATCTTCGGTACATGAGGAGCATGATGTGTCCATGCAGGAGACCTATGAGCAGCCTGATGAGAGAGAACAATCAGAGGAATATGAGCAGGAAGAGCTGGATGAGGAAGGCACTGAAGAAGAAGTTGAGGAAATTCAGCCTTCTCAGATGCCCTCTGTGCCCCAGAAGGCGAACTCCACTCCTGAACAACAACGGCCTGCGCAATCCTTCTTCAAAGCCTCGACACGGAACGCAGTTGCTGAACCAGAACTGGAACCAGTTCCTACTACAGGGGAACCCACTCCACCACGGATGCAGCTCTCTCATGCCGATATACACAGATGGCAGCAGGAAACTTCCAATGCTAGTGAAGACTCCCCAGAACCAACCCCAGCTAAACCCGCTCCCCGACCCGCTCCTCGTCCTCTTCTTCGACCACTACCTCCCAGAAACGCCTCCCCTACCAAATCAAGCCTACGCTCTCCTCTCAAACCTCATACCCCTGGTCGTGTAGTCGAGTTTACGAGCAGCGTCCTCTCTCCTATAGAACAGGCCAAGGTTCGACATCAACGCCGACTATCCAATTCGTCAGCAGCATCGCAGTCTAGTAACGCCCCCCAGCGACCGCGTATTAGACCACCACCCCGCCAAACTGCCCACAAGGACACCACCATTGAGGATCCTGCGTCTAACGTAGGACCACCTAAGAAACAACCACGTCCTGCACCACTATCACAAACTGTCTGGACCCGAAAACATTGGCTTGTGCTCGATGATTTACTTCAAGAGCGTCGCCAAGGCCCTTTCACCACATATTACGAACGTTGCTCAGACAAATATCTTGGAAAAATTGTTGCTAGCCAGGGCGAAGCCATGACGCTGGAGCGCTGGCACCTGGATTGTGTCGATGCCTTCAAGGCTCAAGTCGGTGGCTGGGACGAAGGTGCCCTGGCCAAAAGACTATTCGCTCTTATCCTGGGTGAGCAGAGGAGAAGTCAGGAGGCTTCTTCTTCTGCCGGACCTAGGCGAGTTATGTTCCATTGAATGACGTAAAGAACACATGTTGGCTTTTTCTTTTTTTTTTTGCATCGAGTTATGAAGCATCGCATATTATTTAGCATTCATGAGGCGTTTTGTTTCATGAATAGGTAGGCTATCTGTTGTTGGAGATACCAAGTACAAAACGATCATTTGTTGTATTCATCACGCCTTGCATTTTTTATTCAATACCCCCCTTTGGAAGCGGAAACTGGTCGAGGCATTGTCTGTATTAGGGTTGGATTCACAGGCACAATATTACATATAGGACACATGAACAAATACAAAGCATTGACCAGCATAGACGATCGTGTTCCCTCTTTGAAACGCCTAGTCTAAGATACTGTGTGACATATTACATACAACGGATGGACCCAAATCTATTCCAGCATAGACGCCTGGTTTGTGTACAAAACATCGACGACACTGCTCAACTTCTCAATGGTTGCGAGAGCCGCATCGTACGACTCATCCCGGTGCGTCTCGTCAAAGATGATAAGGCAGCCAGCGCCCTGGTCCAGAACACCAATAATGACCTTGTCTAGGATCATCTGAGAAAGCTTTCGCTCAACCTGCTGGGTGTCGAGGCCAACCATGTTGGCGATGTGGTCAATCTCCACGCGCGAGAAAGGCTCAATAACCTTAATAAGGTTCTGCTCCAACATAGCGTCGTAGAGACGACGGAGGTGGTTTCGGATGAAAGTGTCGCTTCCTAGCTCGTAGCGGTAGGAGGAAAGTGCACGCTCGTACTCCTCCAGTGATCGATTCGAGTGGGCGCGAGCAATAGCCTTCATAGCTTCTAGGTTCTTACCAGCGTATTTGAGGGCTTGCTTCGAGGCCATGAGGTTGTTCACGTCGTCGACAAGGTTAAGCATGATCTTGCAGAGAAGCATGTATTGCAGGGCAGCTTGAGCCCTGGTGCTCTCGTCTTGGGAGTGGTAGCCATCGAGGGCCTCGATGAAATAGGAGAATGCGGTGTTGAAGTCCTTATCTTCAGCATGAAGCATACCACTTTGCATATCGAGGTTGGCCTGTAGCATAGGAGGTGTGTATACACTGGCAGCGCTGGTTCGTGCACTGGTGAGAGCAGCACGAGCCTTGGGGATGTTGCCGAGGGCATGGTAGACTCTGGATTCGAGGAGTTGGACTTCGACGAGGCGGAGCTTGTCGTCGAGGCGCTTGAGCTCGCGAAGGAGGTTGTTGATCAGACCGAGAGCTTCGTAGTAGGATTGCTTAGCCATTTGGAGAGCTACCAGGCGGACCTCGAGGTCCTGTCGCTGGAAAGCGCGGCGTTCGGCGGTAGCCCATTCTATACAGTCCTTGGTGACGGAGATTTCGATATTGGTGCTGTCGGGGATTTCCTTGATGAGGTCGAGCAGTTGGCGGACTACGTCACCATGTTAGCTGGCTGTGAAGCATTGGCGCAAGATTATTGTGTTGTTGAGGACATACCCAACTTGGCTGACTTGGCCTTTGCAAACGAAGAGAAAACTGTCCTGCTCTCCTTAACCAGGTCCACCAACTCTTGCGTCTTCCTGTTGTAATTGTTAGCGGGGCACGAGGGAAGCAGTCGTAAAGCGGTACGCACTTCTCGTCTCGGTAGATCTCTCCTAGGCTGACCAAAGCCGTTTCGTACTCGCGAGTAGCTGCATCAGATGTGGTGCTGGGAGCTTTGGAGATGATGTCCTTGTAGATGGCCTCAGCCTTTCGTGGGTCGGACTTGGCGAGCTTCTGCGCTTCCTGGACCCTCGCCGATTCGGCCGCCGCCATTGTGTAGAATGTGGTTTCGTGTGTCGGGGGTGAAAGTCGTATGTAGTAGAGTTATGCGCTATGCTACGCGGACGGAGAGAAGGCGTTGAGGGTGGTGAGGAATAGTCGTCGTTATGATGATGTTGTTTAGGTGAAGCAAATAGATAGCAGCAATGATGGTAGCTACCTTACCTTAGCCTCCAGGTTGCCAGAGCACGACGTAGACCAGCCAGTAAAAGAAGTGGGCCTCTACAGCCTCAAGGAAATGTCAATTGAATTGATGATGACGGGCTTTCATTAATCCGCAGCTAACTACCCTAGAACCATACATCATGCCCTGCCAAAGTGGGGGTTTGCCGCTCTCAATGGAAGCTTCCCGTCCCCGGTTCAGTAGCCGGTGCGACCCTTCGACATGCGAAGCGAATCATGCCGACAGCTTAAAATTTCAGTCCTAACTCGGAGCTCTAAACTTCCTGATAGTCTACCTACCACAAGCCACCATACACTTTACTTAAGTGCACCAGCCTCTCCTCACTAAACTCTTACTCTCCTCCCCTTCATCTATCTTTAATTTATTTCGTCATATACCTCACAATGTTCCGCCAGGCCATTGCCACCTCGTCCCGCGCTCTGCGAGCTGCTCCCAAGGTCGCCGTCCCCCGACCCTTCGTCCAGTCGCAATTTCAGGCTACGCCTGCTTTCACTTTCAGATCCGTCCAGCCCGCCGTGTCAAGATGGTACAGCGACACTAAGGAGTCCGAGTCCAAGCCTGCTGAGGAGGCTAAGTCGGAAACCAAGTCTGAGGAGAAGCCCGCCGAGAACGACCCCCTCGCTGAGCTCAAGAAGGCTCTCGAGGCCAAGGAGACAGAGGTCAAGGACTGGAAGGTATGTGGCAATCAAAAACCCTCAATTCGTCTTTGTAATACTAACCATCATAAAGGACAAGTGCCTGCGCACCGTCGCCGACTTCCGCAACCTTCAAGAGCGCACCACCCGTGAGGTCAAGTCCGCCAAAGATTTCGCTATCCAAAAGTTCGCCAAGGATCTCGTCGACAGCGTCGATAACCTCGACCGCGCTCTTGGAATGGTCCCTCAGGAGAAACTCAACGCCAAGGAACGACCTGAGGGCATTGAGGATCTCGCCAACCTGTACGAGGGTCTCAAGATGACCGAGGACATCCTCATGAGCACTCTTAAGAAGCACGGCCTTGAGCGTCTCAGCCCCGAGGGCGAGAAGTTCAACCCCAACGAGCAGGAGGCTACTTTCATGACTCCCCAGCCTGATAAGGAGGACGGCACTGTCTTCTTCGTTCAACAGAAGGGTTTCAAGCTCAACGGCCGAGTGCTGCGCGCCGCCAAGGTCGGTGTTGTCAAGAACAAATAAACACCCACCTCTCTACTCTAATACGGGAGGTGATGTGTTGGACACATCATCTCTACACAAATTCGCATCTCGCGTGTACTATTAAACCTGGTTATCGGTTGGCGTTGGCTCGATGTATAATGCTCCCCTCATGATGGTCGTTTTTCAACTTGTATGATGGTTACAGGTACTTGGAAAGGAAGGGAAAAGTTTCAAGAGAGTTGGGACATTTGTACATAAAAATAAAGACGTACATGTATAACAGTGGAAGAAGCGGAAGATGGATGCAAGGGGGTCTTCATCTTATGACCCCAAGGAGGCAAGGCAGAAATGAATACCTATGCTGGTACCTCAGCTATGACAGCAATGAATCTTGTAAAGAAAGATACGCACATCGAGCATCATGTGAAAGTGACATAACTGAAACGATAAACATGGTTAATATACTAAGGTTGGGTTTCTGTTTTGTTGACACCACACCTACACATCACTTCTTCAACTATATATCACAAATGATCAATCACAGTATATGCACAATATTGTTTGTTAAATCTTTATTCCAACAATCCTATCAACTCAATAAAACCACGCCGTAAACACTTACAAAGAAAGGCCAACAAAACACCTGGCACCTCGACCCTGGTTTATGCCGATGATGCAATACATATAGAAACAGGCCTGTAGTTCTGGTTGCTCCCCTTATCTCATAAGACACTTTCAAAAACAAATGTGCGCGCTTCCTCCCATGCCATGCCATACTTCAATCCCAAACTATATCCCTAATGCCGCAGAGGTACATCTCCCAGGTAGGTAGGTAGGTTGGTAATAAAGGGAATTCATTACCAGCAACGCCCGCGATGTCGCCTCACTGACCTGTTGCTTACTAGAAGTTCCCACCAGTGTCAACAGCAATGAAGGTAAAGAAATAACGTAAATGTAAATCGTTATAAAAGCAATATTCATGCGATGGTCATTACAACTCTTTTAATGCTGGCCCACCGAGCTGTCTTTCTTGCTGTTCCCTCCTGCTCTCCTCTCCCCAGGAGAAGATGACAAAAGAGATCGGAAGACAATGATGAGTAAAAGGTTCCTCAAATCCAAGAAAACATTCATTCATCCCATCTCCAGTCGTGAGTACCTTAGAGGATTGGACACTTTCTCTTCTTCCTCTTAATTTGCCCCACCCCGGGTGTTGATGTTGACTCGCGCTTCTTGGAAGAACCGGTGGCTGCTGCTGCCTCGATTGTTTTCCGGTCGTTGGCAACGACGGTGTTGATAGCCTGCTCAAAGATCTCGTCGACGCCTCGCATCTCCTTACTACTACATTCCATGTACTGAGCGTTCATCTTCTTGGCCAGTCCCATACCCTGCTCGGTAGTGACTGGAGTGAGACCTTGTGTCTTGAGCATATCGATGCACGCCTTCTTGTGGCGAAGATCTGACTTGAGGCCGACGAGCACTAGAGGAGTGTATGGGCAGAAGTGTAGAACCTCTGGGTACCACTATTGGGAAAGGATCAGCATGTTGTGTGACGAATAGACTGCAAATATCATACCTTATCGAGTACATTGTCGAGGGAGTTCGGACAGTCAATGGCGAAGCATACAAAGATCAGATCGGTCTCGGGGTATGAGAGCGGTCGGAGACGGTCATATTCCTCTTGACCGGCGGTATCCCACAATGCAAGCTCCACAGTCTTACCGGTAGCAGAGTGGATAGGATAGGTGATGTAGTTCTCAAAAACGGTTGGGACGTATTTCTGTTTCGTTAGTATCGGTGCCCAACGGCGGCAGTTGGAAAAGGGTCGCTTACCTCTGGGAAATAACCCTGGCTGTAGCTAATGAGCAAGCATGTCTTGCCGCATCCACCGTCGCCGACAACAACAATCTTCTTGGAAAAGGTGGGCGCGTCGGTGACGTGGGTCGCTGCCGACTCGCGGCCCGTCGACGAGCTCATAGTGGTGCTGACGGTGCCTTCGCTGGAACGAGTGCGCTCTTGACGTCGAAACTGGTCGTTGGGTTCAAAATAAGACGTACGGTAGGATTGAGATGATGCCATGCTTGGGCGCAAGGCTGTAGTGAGTCGCGGGATGCAGGCGCGAGTCTGTTGAGAGTCGCTTAGCCTTTAGCGTAGTATGTCGATGAGTAAAATATATCTTTGGTTGAGATGCGCCCTATTCGGATCTATGATGCTCGTGTGTTGTTGATGCGGGGTGAGAGAAGATGATACTATCGAGTGTCTGATGCGATATGTGTATAAACGGCAAGCAGAGTGGAATGTACAAGTTGATGCGACGCGAATTGGGTTGAGATGCTGTAGCTAATGAGGCTCAGTATAGTTGAGTGATGGGTGGATGACAGTGCTGGTATGTCTTGTCTTGACTCGTCTTGGGTTGAGTTAAGGTAAGTTAAGTTTGTGTTGTTTGCGGCAAGTTTAAACTACTTGGTCAAGTCCAAGAAAGGACTATGGGGAGTCAAGTCTTAGTGTGGCTTTGTTGCACCACCAAGTTACCCGAGTAAACATGTTGACAGGGCAACTGCCTTTGGGGGAGGGTACAGTTGCTTGCGGACAGTAGCGGGCAGTACAGGCTGCATGCTGCCCACTGGGCTGTGAAGCCCGGGCGGGCCCGTTCAGTGGAGGTGAATCGCTGGAGCTGAATATGACGGAACTGATTGGCCCGTGCACCTGCTGACGAGAAAATTTCCTTGGCCCAGGAACTCTGTGCTTCTTCCCTTTTCTTATCGTGACCTGGTCCAAGCTCGTCTTCTCCATTCTCGTCCCCATCCATGCTTTCTCTTTCTGCCTTCAAAAGCTTTTCCCACCAAATTGCTTTCTCCTTTCTTTTCCTTTCTTCTTATTTACAGCGACAACACACCACCAGCCAGCAGCGGTGAAGAAGACTCGGGAAAATGGACACTCAAGCTCCCAGCAAGTACATCACTCTCATCTCCAGCGATGGTTTTGAATTTGTTGTTCTCCGTGAAGCTGCCATGGTCAGCCCGATCATCAAAGGCATGCTCGACGTGAGAAGTCAATTTGCTGAAGCCCAGGAGGCTCGTTGTGTTTTCCAGGAGATGAGGTAGGTCAATGTCGCCAACACGCTGTCGCGTCCAGATGGCTTGCTCTGTGGATTGATGAAAATTCACGATGCTTTGTTGAGAGAACATCCGAGACTTCTCGGTTGGGCTACATGAGTACTCACTACACTTGACCTGACCACAAACGCACCAAGCCTGGTTGTCAGCCTCTGCTGGAACAGTCCGATCCTTGAGAGAGTAAGACGCTGATGATAAATATATCAACAGCGCCATGGTCCTGGATAAGGTTGTCGAATATTTCCACTACTGGTATCGCTACCGCAACAGCGAAGACGTGCCCGACATGGATATCCCCGTTGAGCTTTGCCTTGAGCTGTTGGCCGCGGCTGATTACCTGGGCCTGGACCAGTATGCAGTCATTGCTACAACCTAGCGCGTGGATACTAATCTCATCTAGGGCGAACATGAGCATGAAGTGAAGACTTCTAGAATCTAACAGGCTTGGTCCCTTGGCCCTTCTACCTTGCTATGCCTTGCCATGTCTGCGACATCTCTTTATGACGGCGTTTTGGAGCTGAGGATACAGTCCAGCTTGCTGCTGCTTAAGCAAGAGACAGTAGCTTGTCTTTGTTCTTTCGGTCTTTTGATAATGATAATGAACAGTACTACCGGCCAATGATACAGGTCAAGCCACAACACAACACCTCTTCATTCCTCCGGATCCGAACATCCAAACGTGACATGTCACCATTTCAGCATATGCGTTGTACTCTTAACTCCTCCGTGGGTCCAACGTCTATTAGAGATGGAAGATTAAAGTAACCCTCTCACTCTGCGTTACTCAGTTGACGCATTGAGCTTTCGCTTTTTCTGAAGGGCAACATTTCTTGATTGTAAATCCGTGTCGTATTCCCTGTATCCATGTTTTGTTATGCCAAATTCATTAAGAGATTTATGCCACCTATCGTAAGCATCTTAATGAGGCTGTTATGTCAGTGCATTGCCGGATACCTCTACGAATTGGATCTACGGTAAGGGTATAATAATTGAAGCTGAGCATTGTTGCCTGAAGGTCATGGCTTAAATAAACAATGCCATTGTTTCATGGACTATCGTTGTAAGGCATCCCTGGAAGCCTGGTTTGGTTTGCATATCCTCCTTACCCGCTAAATATCTTCAAACGGTCAAGACGAGTCTGAGCATGATCTGCAACCGTCAAGGAACAAAAAGAAAAATTGTGGCTCATCTCATGTGGAATTTAACGAGAAGTCTCTAAATGTCAATAACATGTAATACCAAGGTAACTTGAGTCATCGAATTTTGGAAGGTGGTTCACCGTCAGCAGTTGCCTGGAAAGCAACTTCTGCTTGTGAACCCACTCAGCCTCAACTTTCCAACTACAACTCCCTACCACATAACGGACAACAAAATGTCTACCAACGCGTTCGAGGCGCAAGGTATCCGAGTTGCAATTGAAGGATGCGTAAGTAAACTATGAAAAATACTATTGCCAGGCTATTAACAATTGCAGGGTCATGGCACGCTAGATGCCATCTACGCTTCTGTTGAAGAATCTTGTAAGAAACGTGGTTGGGATGGTGTTGATATTCTCATCATCGGTGGTGACTTCCAGGTATCTCAGCCCCTAATTACCTCCAATGCGTGTTGCAATATGCTAATATGCACGGTTACAGTCTGTCCGCAATGCTGAAGATCTGAGCATCATGTCATGCCCTGTCAAGTACCGCCATCTAGGAGACTTTCCCAAGTACTACTCGGGTGAGAGAAAGGCGCCTTATCTAACAATATTCATTGCTGGAAACCACGAGGCCAGTTCTCACCTGTGGGAGCTCTACTACGGAGGTTGGGTGGCGCCCAACATTTACTACATGGGTGCTGCCAACATTCTACGTTTCGGTCCACTACGTATCGCCGGGCTGTCTGGTATATGGAAAGGCTTTGACTACCGCAAACCACACCACGAAAGACTCCCCTTCAGCGGCGATGATGTAAAGTCGTGGTACCACGTCAGAGAAATCGACGTCCGCAAGCTACTTCAAGTACAGACACAGGTGGATGTCGGCCTCAGTCACGATTGGCCACGTGCAATCGAATCAAATGGCGATCATGAATGGCTTTTCAGAAAAAAGCCTGCTTTCAGAAACGAATCTCGAGATGGTACACTAGGTAGCGTAGCGGCCGAGTATGTCATGGACCGCCTACGACCTCCCCATTGGTTTTCGGCCCATATGCACATCAAGTTTGCTGCGATCAAGACATATAGTGACGCCCATCCTGAATTGGAAGAGAGCAAGCAAGAGCACATTCCTGTGACCGCTCCGGCACCAGCTACAGAGAACAATCCTGATGAGATTGATTTGGATATGGATGACGATGAGGAGGACACAAAACCTAACCCAGTACCAGAAGCCAATAAGAGCGAGCCTGAAGTTAAGGAGGCGGCAGAAGCATCAAATGAAGTGCCGGATGAACTGAGGGCGCAACTCCCGGCATCTTTCGCTCGCCCTCAGCCCAAGAAAACGCCTGGTCAGCCAGTACCACCCGGTATCACGAACAAGGAGGTCCGTTTCCTTGCTCTCGACAAATGTCTACCAGGACGACACTTCCTGCAGCTCTGTGACCTCCAACCCTTTAACCTCGAGACAAGCTCCGAATACCCTCCAGCTCCAGAGTCACCACGATGGCGATTACAATATGATCCAGAGTGGCTCGCAATTACGCGTGTCTTCCATGATTCTTTAGTCATTGGTGACCGTAATGCGCAGACGCCACCTGACTTGGGTGAGGATCATTACCAGCCCCTCATCCAAAAGGAGAGAGAATGGGTTGATGACAATATTGTGAAGGCTGGAAAACTGGATGTTCCATACAACTTCGAAATTACTGCGCCGCCTCATGTTCCTGGTGGTCCTGAGATTGTCAATACGCAGCCATCAGAATACACAAACCCCCAAACTACAACATTCTGCGAAATCATGGGACTGTCAAATATCTGGGATGCTACGGAGCAAGAAAGACGTCAACGAAAAGCACAGGGGCCACCCAAAACGGACCAACGCTTCACTGGTGGTGGAAGAGGAGGTCATGGCAGAGGAAGAGGCGGCGGAAGGGGACGGGGTAGAGGCCGTGGAGGTCGTGGAGGTCGCTGGTAATTTCTGCAGGTAATGTTTAGAAAATGGCTGGCTTTGCTTGCGAAGTCGAAGCATCTTGTTGCAATGCATCCGCTCCATGGACCTGTATGAGAGACATTGCAAGAAGGATGGACATATTTAGAATTACATGCTGCTATAGGTTGATTGCCTGCTTTCCCATGAGACTAAATAGAGCATATTTACATGCTTAATTTTGGTAAACAATAAATAAAGTTTACTCCTTATCGAAGATCCAATTCAATTCTACGAGTGAAGCTCCCCTTACGTAGTACAGCTTGGTGGGGTTTAAGCTCCGTAGCAACCACACCAATCAGGAAATAGAGTAAACAGTGCAACCGCCCATACGCCATCGTTACTACTGCACCTTCACCTATCAACCTCAACACATTTTGGTCGCGCCCCTTAGCAAAAACACTTTGCAAAACACGAGTTTAGCAGTGATATTAGGCGAATTCGCATCTGCATATTCGCATTTAGGATTTACAAGACTCTTGTCTCACCTACCCGTCCTGTTGGTTCCCTCCTCAGACAATCCCCCATGGACAGATTGCCCCGCTAACAGTTGGAATGTAACAGCATCGCATCTCAACCTCGCTGAAACCTCGTCGAATATCATCGCCCACCATGGCTCAAGCCTTCTTAACCACTGTGTTAGTCCTCCCATCTTTCTTTGAAGCAGCGCGACTTTGGATTCCTCCTACTCGCTATACACCGCTACCATGTTTCAACATCTGACTCCGAAGTCGGTCTCTACGATGCATCAGATAGACACAACCTCCATCTCTACAAAACCCCTGCCCCTCTCGGATGAACTTTCATTTGCTGACTTGGAACCTTCGTTGAATAGTAACCAGCGGACGAGAAACCAGTTTCGCCCGCGCGCGGGCAAGGGAGGATCGGCCAGTTATCAACTGCGACAGTATGCCGAAGTGACACTGGGTGGTGGCAGCCTGCGCAAGGTTGTCAAGCTCCCAGAGGGCGAGGACGAGAACGAGTGGTTAGCTGTCAACAGTGAGTTTGACGATAGACATGCCAATAAGGAGGTGTTGCTAATTATGGCTTACAGTGGTGGATTTCTACAATCAGATCAACCTCCTCTACGGAGCCATCACCGAGTTCTGCTCACCGATTTCATGCCCTGAGATGAAAGCCACCGACGAGTAAGATTTCTCCAAGGACGATTGGCGATCCAAGCTAACAGTGACCAGGTTCGAGTATCTGTGGCAAGACAACGAGAACTTCAAACGACCAACCAAGATGCCTGCACCAGCATACATTGAACAACTCATGACATGGGTGCAAGCAAACATTGACAACGAACAAGTATTGCCCAGCAAAATCGGTATGCACTGCCTTATTCGCATACTTTAAGAACAAACAGCTAACGATCACAAGGCGTCCCCTTCCCCAAGTCTTTCCCAGCGCTAGTCCGCCAAATCTTCAAGCGCATGTATCGTGTCTACGCTCACATTTACTGCCACCACTACCCTGTTATCCGTGAGCTCGGTCTCGAACCGCACCTAAACACAAGCTTCAAGCAATACGTCCTGTTTGTCGACGAGCACAGCTTGGCGAGCGGAAGGGACTACTGGGGTCCCCTGGGCGACCTGGTGGATAGCATGCTCAAGAGCGACTAGGAGAAGCTTGAGAGTGACAGTACTGAGCTTTGAGACTTAGCAACAAGGAGTTTTGGGCGTTTGAGGATCAGGGCTTAGAACATAGGGAAGCTGCTTAATTATGACAATGATGATATGGAACAGCTATTAGTTGTTTCGCGCAGTTTGGGGAGGCTCTCGTCTACTATGAGAACTCGAGACTACATGCGCACTCACAAATGATGAACCCTTTCAAAGGAAACAAGGGATTACCTTATTTAAAATATCCTGCCTGGGCAATTAATAGATTGTTTTCTAAAACTACTGATATCAATTCCATTTGCTGCAATTGTAACTGTCTTTAATTGAGTTATGTAATCACAAAGTGGATGCCTGGGCGGGTGTAAGGCATCCAACGCCCGAAAATTGCCGAGAGAGCCCAGGCTAGCAACAACCTCCAAGTTAATCGAAGCCGAACATCATCAACACTCGCCCTTCTTTTCCCCCTTCCATCTCCCTCTCTCCTCCAGCCGCCGAAATGTTCTCGCGACAGGTCATCCGCGCCGCCCGAGTCGCCGCTCCCCAGCGAGCCCTCGCCCTCCGAGCCGCCCCCGTCCGATCCTTCGCCGCCGCTGCTCAGTCCGATGTCAAGTCTCCGGTTTCCGTCTTCGGCGTTGATGGCACCTATGCCTCTGCTCTGGTAATACACCACCTCCAATAATACGAATACGCACCATCTTGTCCCGATTATGTTGTCAATTGGCTGGTCAATTGGCTACAAAAGCCCCTCCTCTCGTTCATGGACACAAAAACCTCAAATTGGAAGATATCGCGTTCCGTCGCTGACAGGCAATTTTTTCTTTTGCGTCAATTTAGTACACTGCCGCCGTCAAGACTTCCAGCGTCGACGCCGCTTCCGATGCCCTCATCAAGCTCGGTGCTCTCATCGAGAAGGACCCCAAGCTCGTCTCCGTCCTGAGGACCCCTACCCTCGCCGATGCCGACAAGAAGGCCATTGTCGATGAGCTTGTCAAGCAAATCAACACCAAGGACGAGACCGTCAAGAACTTCCTCGCCACCCTCGCCGAGAACAACCGACTTGGTCTCATCCCCGGTGTTGTCGACAAGTTCTCCACCATCATCTCCGCCGCCCGTGGTGAGGTCGAGCTCACTGTTACCAGCGCTCAGGTACGTTTTTTGGAGGGACATATATGAAGGATGAACAAGGAATTGGATGCACGAACTACGTCACAGCTAGCTATACTCGACCACGACAAGATTGGATTGGAAGGATGGAAGTGAAAGGAAAGGAACAATGGACTAACATGATCATCTTTAGCCTCTCGACAAGCGAACACTCAACCGACTTGAGACTGCTGTCGCCAAGTCCTCTTACGTCGGCCAGGGCAAGAAGCTCAAGGTCACCAACGAGGTACGTCTCAAACTGCAGCAATGCCACGACATAACCCTAATATTTTCCCAGGTTAACCCCGATATCGTTGGTGGACTCGTCGTCGAGGTCGGCGACCGAACCATCGACCTCAGCGTCTCTTCCCGCATCGCCAAGATGAACAAGCTCCTCACGGACACTCTGTAAAAAACCACCCATAGTATAAATTCTATTTAGTGTCTCCTTTGCGTCGTCTCGTGGAGTTTTTTTCTCATCACCACGCAAAAAAACGGTATACCCCCCTCCTATGAGTGTGGGTTTCCCAAGGGGTTTTTCTCGTCCCCCTTGGATTGTTACAACCCTCCCGGAATCAAACGTTCTTGTCATCCCTGGCTAGGGGAGAAGAAAGGGGAGAGTGTCGATGGAAAGAATAGTGTAGGAGGATTTGAACTGGGTACGCAATAAATGCAGTCCCCCAATTGAATTCTTTTGTCCCAGCGTGATGACTTTCAGTTTGGCTTTTTCGTCTTGTGGTATCCGATCTGGGTGTCGGACTTAGCGGAAGTACGAGCTCGTACGAATACTTGAGCTCATTAATGAAATGGCTGGTTTCAAACGGAACATAGCTCAAACTCATTGGCATGATGTGAGTTGAGATAGATACAGTGATGTCATTAGATTAGATTTCGTCACATAAACAAGCCCTCATGAGAGAATGTACCTCTTTATTGTATCATGACTACTAGAAAAACTGAATGACAAGTCTATGCCCATAAACTCAGGACACCCTGCTGCTCTGCAAGGGCACAAGTGAGAAGTTCTTGCTTTTGATAACGCCCCATTACTTCCTCCTCTTGATCGCACCAACTTCTCCTTTCACAACCTAACTAAAGTCGCTTATGCCTTGGTCTCAAACTCATCGTCATGGTCGTAGTTACCCGCCTTGTTCTCATCTTTATATCTCTCGAGCTGGTCAGAGACGTAACTATGCAGATGAGCATCGGCTTCAGTACGCTCTCTGGCTCGTCCCTCGTCATGATGGACGGAGCCAGCAAGAGAATGGGTGTCATCTTCGAAATCACTGCGGGCACCGATGGAACGAGCAGTCGATGAACGTCTGATGTGAGCCCTGCCACTGTGGCCGCTGCTTCCAGCATTGCGGTGGAAGACATCATCAAAATAATGACTCATAGCAATTGAAGGTGTGCGAGGAGTGTGAGGCAGGCGGCAGTTGACACTATATGGCTGTTAGCAATATATCAAGTAACGAAAAGATGTTTCACATACCCAGTATCATGGATCATACGTGCAATGAGACCAGTCCATCCACACTGGTGAGTGGCTCCCAAGCCGCGCCCATTGTCTCCATCGAAGAACTCATGGAACCAAAGGTAATCTTTCCAGTGTTCATCGAAATCCAAGCGATCGTCACCACCGTTAATGCTACGTCTTCCGTCGTCAGTACGGGCGAAAAGATGTTGCAGGCGGTGCTGGATTTCCTCAGCCACCTTGCCCAGATGCATGTAGTCTCCGCTACCAGTTGGGCATTCCACCTGGAAATCATGTCCATAGAAGAGGAAGAAGCGTTGTAGGGACTCTACAAGCAAAAAGTTGACACAGAGCCAGATAGGACCTCTCCAGTTACTGTTGCCGCCGAACAGACCACTATCTGAGTCGCCTGGCACGTATCCGACGCAGAATTTCTGGCCATTGACATCCATGGAGAATGGGTTCTCCTTGTGGAACTTGGAGAGCGACCGGATACCATGGTCACTGAAAAACTCATCTTCGTCGAGCATGCGCTTCAGGATCTTCTCCAATCGATCTTTGCTGACAATGGACAACAGGATACGGTTGCCCTTTCCTCGCTTTCGGATACTGGCCATGTTTCTCTCAGCCAGATCGCATCGGTTTTCAATGAACCAGTCGACTCTCTTCTTGAAGGAGGGGAGTCTGTTCATCAACTCTGGTTCCAGAGTGATAGTCGCATACAGAGGAATCAAACCCACAAGCGATCGCACGGGCAGCTGCTGGATCCAGGGGCCGCCCCAAGAGATGGCATCGTAGTAGAAGCCATCCTCCTCATTCCAAAGAGACTTCTCATCCTTATGACCGGTTCGGAAGGTCATAGCATCACTAATGAAAATGAAGTGCTCGAAGAACTTGGATGCAATGTCTTCGTAGATACGACGGTGCTTGGCCAGCTCGAGGGCAATGTTGAGCATGGAAAGACAGTAGAATGCCATCCATCCAGTGCTGTCTGCCTGCTCTAGGACACCTCCAGTAGGGAGAGGCTCGGATCGGTTGAACAAGCCAATGTTGTCGAGACCCAAAAAGCCTCCCTCGAAGACGTTCTTGCCATCAGCATCCTTGCGGTTGACCCACCAGGTGAAGTTAAGGAGCAGCTTTTGGAAAACACGCTCTAGGAAGTCAAGATCCTGGCGACCATACATCTTTCGTTCAATCTTGAACGTTCTGAAGGTTGCCCAGGCATGAACTGGCGGGTTTACGTCTCCAAAGTTCCACTCGTATCTGAAAACGAATTAGTCATTAACATTCAAATGTCGAATAAGAGCAGACTTACGCTGGAAGCTGTCCGTTGGGATGACAGTACCACTCGCGAGTGAACAAGTCAAGCTGCTTCTTTGCGAAGTCGGGGTCAATCATGGCCAACGGGATACAGTGAAAGGCACTATCCCAAGCGGCGAAGAAAGGGTACTCCCATGAGTCAGGCATCGACAGAATGTCGTCGCAGTGCATGTGTTTCCAGGCCGAATTTCGAATATCTTTTCGAGAAGCCGGCGGAGGTGGCATAGTAGGGTCACCGTTCGCCCAGTGGTCCCAGATGAAATGATAGTGTTGCTTCGTCCACATCATACCAGAGAAAGCTTGTCGCTGGATGTTGCGCAGATCGTCGGCCATGGGAAGAGGGCTAAGTCTGTAGTAGAACTCGTCTGCCTCCTCCTTACGGGTCTCAACAATATCATCGAATTCTTCTTCGTCGAGGTACCCATCGTCTCGCCTGGTGAAACGGAATCGAACGACTGGATCGTAGTTAGCAACAGAATTTGAGAGCTACTACTGTAGGATACTTACCGGCACATTCGCCGGGGTTGACACCGCCATCCTCGTTAAAGTTGAACCAGGCAGCACATTTTGTTCCAGTCTTGTCAGGGTTAACAGCGTCCTTCTCTCCGTCGACGATGTAGCGATGGAAGGCATCCTTGACATATGGCTGCTTGTTCTCTTGTTCGTATAGGGCCTTGAAGTTGGTCTCGTTCTCGGTGAACATGAACTTTGGCATGACATCTTCACCACTGGAGCCTACACCAGGCGAGGGGGAGCACAGGATGTGACGCTCTCCCAAGCTCCAGTGATTGGATTTGACGAAGGTCTCGTCGGCATATTTTATCGAAGGCTTCTTCTCCTCAGGCTCTCTACCCCAGCTCCAGGTGTTGCGGAACCACACCTGGGGAATAATGTGGAGAGGCGCAGGGTCAGGGCCTCGATTCCAAGCAGTGACTCGGAAGAGAATCTCATCGGGATCATCGGTCTCCTTTGCAGTTTCAATGAAGATGTCCCAGTATCGGTCTTCGTCAAAGGCATCGGTGTCTGTGATTTGGTATTCCTTATCTTCCTTTCCTCGTCGAGCGTTCTCGTCAATAAGATCCTTGTAAGGGAACTTCTTCTGTGGGTATTTGTAGAGGAATTTCATGTAAGAGTGCTATCATGACCAGTTAGCGTGGAGCAGGTATTAAGATCGAGTAGGTTATTTACAGTCTAAGTAATAAGTTAGCATGAGCCAATTGAATGTTTTTTTGTCTTGTGTACTCACAGGTGTGTTATCAACGTGGAAGTGAGCTTCCTTGACACTTTCACCATGGTTACCCTGGGGATTTGAGAGGCCGAAAAGACGCTCCTTGAGGAAGTCACTGTATCATGTTAGCGGTCATGGCGCATTGTAAACTGTAGCAATTATACGAACTCTTCCTCGTTCCAGAAACTAAAGCCAATGTTTTGGTAGCCATGAGTATCACAGACACCGGCGATGCCGTCTTCACCCCAACGGAATGCGCGAGATCGAGCGTGGTCGTGAGGAAAGTCTGACGTAACTTGTTAGTGAACAGGACAAGATGCGCCATTAAAAAATAAACTCACGACTCCAAGCATCTCCATCATGACTGTAATCCTCTCGGACTGTTTTTTTGGTTAGCTATTTTCTTGTCATGAGTTGTGCAATTACATGCCTGTAGCCCATTGTCTCTCAGAAACATAAGGACCCCATTTCTTCCAGTACTTGGTGCGGTCGCGATCCTCCTTAAGACGTCTCTCCTCCTCAGTGAGGTATTCGTGACCGTCGTGGACAACCATGGCTGAAGCTCAAACTCAACGAGGGGCAGCAAGCGAAGCACGGGCGACGATCGACGAGGGGTAGCAACGGTTGCTGAGGTGGGGGATGATGAGGTCAATTGGAGCGTGTGGGGAAGCGGAGAGGGGAAAGAATAAACAGAAGTTAAGATGGACAACGATGACCAGGAACCGGAGGTTTTAGGTGATGGCTCCTCTGGTGAGAAGAGTAGAGGACGAGAAGAAGTGAAGGGGAAGTGAAAGGAAGGGAAAAAGAAAGTCAAGAGAATTGGAAGAAAAAGTAGTCCTGCACTCCAATGCAGCCAGGTACAGCTCTGTACCGTATCTAACCAAATGGGCGAGACACGACACACACAGGATCGACGATGGTGGGTAGGATCAAGAGAATGTCAGTCTCGGTTGTGCCTGAGGCTTGAGACTAGCTGTTGTTTTGTCTGGTAGGTGGCAGTCAAGATGCGTAGCTTCCCTTGTTAGTGTTCCTGGTTTTCAAACACCACTGACAGCACATGAAGCTAAACGGGGATCATCAACCAACCGACCCGATTGCACCAGCGGCCGCTGCATCTCCTCCACTGTCGAGGGCCGGATGTTTATCTATGAACGGGTTCTGGGCCTGATAATTCTTGTACCAGAGTGACATTGAACTCTTTCCCTGGCAAAGAGGGCGGCTGCTAGTAGCCATGGACATGGCTCTTCAACTCCACCAAGAACACCATCATCGGCGACCCCTCGGCGAGCCTACAGATCCGATAGGAAGAAAACTCAAAGTATTTTCTTGCTAATGATGTGCTACACCAACCGCAGGAACCCTCCGCAGGAATGTGAGACCAAGCAAAGCATCACTGTCATGTCACACACGATATCACTTGCAACAAGTCATGAAGCTTTCACTACAGAGATAGGAACTGCATACCGGTGAACCACGGCCTAGGCGTTGTGGCGCTGGGTAGTTCCTGTTCCTAATCTGCCACGCTAAAAAGCTGTCTTTAGTGTTGTTTCTCTCTCTGTACCTAGTAATGAATGACGTATTTTGGTTTAGAAAAAAAAACAGAGAGAGGGAAAAAAAGCTGGACATGGATTATGAATCAAGATTCTGTGACATGTCGTTTCGTAACTAGGAAATATGCCCCGTCCTATTTTAAGCCGTCCTGATTTCTCTACTGGAGTCAAAGTGAAAACAAGAGATATCAATTGGCGGCAGATAAGAAACGTTTTTCAGGCTACCCAATAAGGGATGCCATTATTATTGGGTAGTTATTGCTGGGGAAGTTGGGCTCACCTTATTGCGTTTTTGTCTTACCCATGTTTTCTCCAACAAACTTGTGCTCCATGCATTTCGTGTTACTGGGGATGTTGGAGGCAACCATCTCCCCTCGGGGTAGAAAAAGCTTGACCGCTAACAACACAAGATACTTTAAGTTAGAGGATGAGTTGTTCTTTGTCTCTGCATTTAAAATTTCTCATTCCCCGCTTTGAGGTTGTATCGAATGGGTTCTGCTGTTTCGTGGTGATCAACAATGCTGAACTGGTGTTTGATCCACAAGATCTGAACTCTAGATAGAAACAACGACAGGCCTGATATGCGTACCACTTTGCAACCTTGTAGAACTTAAAGCAAGTACTGGGCTATCTATGTTTGTTGCTATCCAATTTTCACCATAATCTGAGGGGACAAACTGAAGCTTTTGTCGAGATCGTCCTTTGGTCATGATCTTACCCTATAGACTCTAACTACAGCGGCGCATTATGCCGTTTCGTCCACGTTGCTCACATATGCAAGAGCTGCATCTTGCAGAAGGATGACCAATAGAATAGTCAGATACAAACATTTTCGGCATTTAAATACCAGCTACAGCCAATCGTTGTAATTAGTGTAGTTGTGTTGTTGAGCTGTCAGTTAGTCAACGAAAGCCACGAACCTAAACTCGTGTTCCATTGTACGAATCGACGCCCACGACAAACCGTTCAGAGTCTAGAAAGGCTGACTGTCAACTTCTCAGCCCTGTGGACAGCTGCTATCACATGAAAGTCTCGAGTTCAGGAGAGCCGTGTTCTTTGATTTCCGGTTAACCAGGGTATAGAGAATCCACTAACACGATCTGATGATCCCCTGCTAGGGGTTAAAGCAACTCATGATACGGCTGTATACTCGCCAAAAGACCTGCATCAGTGAATATCACCACAATCCAATTAATTACAATTTCGGCAATCTATTGAAAACAGTCCAGATTGGTCAATGTATGGACGTTCGTTTGTTAATAAGCCACTTGTGTCGTGTCATGTTGAGCAAGCCACATCGTTAGACGAGGACCATCCTTGCGGGCGGCGGCGCGGCGTCAGTTAAAAAGCTCCCGCATTCCAAAATTCCAACCAACTGGACAAGCACAGGAAAAAGCTGCCCTGTTTCAACACGCCAAGCTTGTGCCAACCGTCTTTTACCAAGTAATAACTCGCCTCAACAAGCCTCATCCCCATCGTCAGATGCCTACTCCGCCACCATAGGCTTCGTGGCTGGCTTGTCAATTCGTCGTCACCTTTATTGTTTGCCTTTTGAAGATCACTCGTTTCCCAATACTATTTCTGACTATGAGAATCTAAAACACACTTTGCCTCTTTTTTATCTTATTTTACTTTATCTGTCTCGATTCGATACCCGCCTATCCGATTGTACTAAGTTAGCGATATTGCACCTGCTCGGCGATAACACGTTCACTCTTTCGTCCCAATCTTTTTTTACTTTTTCGATAATACTATACAAACTCAACACCTACAACAAACACGGTACGCACACACAATGGCCGACGCTATATCATCCTTCATCCGGAGAGTAATCGTCGAATCTCCTCCCGGAGAATGGGCTATGCGCCAGCTTCGCGACCTGCTCATCGGCGCCCTTAAACAAGGACCCATTCCCCAACATGTCTCCTTCGAGATGGACGGCAACCGACGATATGCTCGAAACCACAGAATGGAGGCTCTAGAAGGCCACCACCGAGGATTCGAGGCACTGGCAAGGGTAGGTCTTGTGTAATTAGGGAAATTGCAATGTGCTAATATGTGACCTTTAGATTATGGAAATCTGCTACAAGTCTGGTGTCAAGGTGGTGACCGTGTACGCCTTCAGTATCGAGAACTTTAACCGTCCCGCGAGGGAGGTAGAGGGCCTGATGGAGCTGGCTAAGACCAAACTGGAGCAATTGACCAAATACGGCCACATCCTCGACCGTTACGGTGCGCGAGTGCGCGTCTTGGGACAGCGCGAGATGATTCGAGAGGATGTACTCCAAGTTGTCGACAAGGCTGTCGCAAGAACGAGACACAACAACAAGTAAGTCTACCGTACCGTGCGACATGATACGAAAGCTAACTCGCGCCAGGGCCGTCCTCAACATCTGTTTCCCCTACACATCACGGGCTGAGATCACAACAGCGGTGAAGTCAACAGTTCAAGAGTTCCTCGCCCCCTCTCCTCCTCGAAGCACACCTTTCTCACCATCGCGAATCCGAAGAAAGATCCTCTCCCGCCAACTGGACGCCCACGAGGGACTACCCATGATCCCCGATACCGTGGCCGAGGAGACCGAGCCCTCTGACGGCGACGATCTCAAGAAGGAGAAGGACAGCGACGGAGATTCTTCATCACCTACATTGCTCCCGGATTCCCCCCCACCTCGCCTGCGGGCACGAAACAGCGCCGCCAGTCTTTCAGGCTTACCGAATCCCGAGACGATCACAGCCGAAACTCTCGATAAGCATATGTACACCGCAAACGACCCACCTCTGGACATATTTGTGCGAACCAGCGGCGTGGAACGACTCAGCGACTTTATGCTTTGGCAGTGCCATCAAGACACACAGATCTTCTTCATCGATACCCTGTGGCCCGACTTTGATCTCAAGGACTTTATCTGGATCTTACTGGAGTGGCAGTGGAGGCAGAAGCAGAAGGACCGTGACGACACCACAGTCCGAGCAACCTCTGTTACAGCGTGATTTGGTTCTGGCGGCAGTGATACCCTGGTCGAGTTAGAAAGTTGAGTCGAATCCGTTATTGTGGTAAACAGTATATTGTCTATAACGGACATGCTGGAATTTGAGGATTGTTTCGGTGTTAAATCGTTTTTTGGTGCACCTCGGAGTGATAGACTCCAACACACCCATAATGCTATATTTATTATGTTTGAATTAACATGAGCGCAATGAGACTAGAAGCACTGTGATCCTGTATGGCATATCTCTTGGATATAGGTAATAGAGGCATGAGAGCTGTTTAGCAAAGTAATTCTCCCGACACATTAAATGGATTTTGTTTTATGGTAAAACTAAGCTGATGAGTCTTTTCCCCCAGTAAACAAAGAGATATGTAATCATTGGTCCCCTTGTGTCACTTTGAGGTCGTGCGTGGCTGAATGGTAATGTGATGTGAGCTTGGTTATGACGAAATAGCCATTTAACATTCTAATGCCCCACGCGGTGAGCATTCCAGCATGGGTTTTTTTCCTTGTCCTTTTGCAATAAAGCAAAGATACACATTATTGACAGGCCGTAATGGTTTACAAGAGAATCTTATTCAAATGTCTCGTGTTTTACCAGAGGAATAGGCTTTAAAGTCTTCAAAGTCAACATTGAGTCGCAATCGCATGCGCATGCGCCCTTATCAGATAAGAGGAATCTCCGTCATCGGGGATGGTTTCTCCGATCCTGGCGGGTCCGCGTGAGTGTTTTGAGGCTTGTAGGTTGTTGAATTACAGCGTGCATGGTCGCTAGAGGTACCTAGTAGTATTCGCAGGTCATTCTCCAAAACCAAATGGGAAAACAGCCGCCATCCCATTGATCCCATCCCGCTTCCGTTTCTGCTACCTCGCCTTACTTCTACTACGCGTGCTCTGCTCTCTCTTCTCCCCTCCTCAGTATTTACGGAATTTTCTCAACACATACGGGCGTCAGAACGCAAAATGACCTAGTACTTTTGTTTTGTACCTGGTCTGTTTCAACTGTTAAGACGCTTGCCTTAGTCTCATACTTTCTCTTTTGAATCTTTCCTTTCTTGCAACCGCCAGCTTCGTCCCGTCCCGCCGTTTCTTTTTCTCCAGCTAATCGACCGCTTCGCTCCAATTCTCTCTCCCCTTTCGCGTCTTCCACGATGAAGTCAGCCAAGGCGCCCGCGACAGAGAGCTCGTCGCACCGCCGGTCGCAGCCCGTTCGTCAAGCTCGTACCAACCCTGCGCGAAGCACCGCGAACATGGGCCGCTCCGGTCCTGGCAGAGACTCGATCGGCGTTGCTGACCAGCCCATCGACATTTTCCCTGCGATCACTCACTTCGCCGATGCCATTACCGCTCTCCCCAAAGAGCTTGTCCGACATTTCACACTTTTGAAGGAGGTTGATGCCAAACTTTTCACTCCTGAAGAACAGCTGTTCCGACTTGTCGAAGCTGCCACAAACGCTCCTCTTTCCGAGGCACGTCCGAACAATGAAACCTCAAGTGTTGCTGCTCCCGGGTCGGCGCCCATGAGCGCGCAAAACAGCTCAACCGGCAATCTCTTGAATAACAGCGCCCAGAGCGTGCCCTCGGTCGATGAATCTCACAGGGACCTCATTTTCGACCCTTCCAACCTACCTCGCCGCCACCTCTTCCGACAAACCGCGCTCAAGATCCAAGAGATGCTTGTATCCCTCGAAGAAAAAAATCACGTCATTTCTACGGCCAATGAAGCGCTCGAAGCCCAGCTCACTCGAATCGAAGACGTCTGGCCACATCTAGAGAACGAGTTCAGCGATGAGGCAAAATGGGGAAGCACCACGCACTGGGCATACCCTGAGAATAGATTTTCAAAGGCATCCAACGTCGATAGGACACGGCGCGACGGCGCCGCAGCAATCTCCGCCGCAGCACAGGCTCTTGCTGATGAGGCAGCCGCTAGAAGCGACGCCCGGAAGCAGGCCGTGCAAGCAAAGAAGGCTTCGAGAAACCACCACCACCACAACAACAACAACACTAATAACACCAATAATCATAACCACGAGTCAGAGGGTGACGACCATGATGGGAAGCACAAGCCTGAGGGCCCCAAGAAGACCGCCAAGTCAAGGAAGTCGGCGGCGGCGGCTGCAGCAGCGGCCGAAACTGTTAATGTCGGCCTGGGCATCTCTACAGCCACGACCACCAATGGAAATCCACCGCAAAAGCGACGCAAGGTCGAGAAGCCAACAAACGGTGCCACAGCGACAGCAGATCGTGCCATGAGCGCTGTCTTTGGAAACGCTGCACCGAAAGCGAAAACAACAAGCCCGCGAGCAACTCCTGCCCCTGAAGCGCCTAAGAAGAGAAAGGCCCTTCCTTCAGGTAGTGGACAGGCCAAAAAGAGGTATGTGCCGCCGATCCGAGATACTTCGAGCAAGATGCTGACATGTTGATTTGTAGTAGGAACGGCGTGACTGGCATGTCAACGTCTGCTAACTCGTCGCCCGTGATTACTGAGCTCCCCGAGCCAAAACTTCCTCCTGTTCGCGCATCACCAGTACCTGTTCCTACCCCGAACCCAGCGCCACCAACTCGTTCACGACAAAATTCGATACAGAATGCAAACGCAGAGAATAACAAGGCCCGACCAACCTCAGCTCCTAATAAGCCCAATGGCACCACTGTTAATACGGCGAGTGTTGTACCTCCACCAAACAGCTCACTTCGCAATGGTACCACTGTTGAGCCCAAAGTTCCTAAAGAGACGATTGTGCCAGTTAAGATTGAGAATCCCAAGAAGGATACCGAGAGAACAGAAACTGTATCTGCTCCACCAACTACCACGGTCAACACCATCACAAATGCAACTCCGGTTCCCCCTGTAACTACCAGCAAAAAGGATACCAAGAAACCTGACGAGAACGAACGTAAGAATGACCGCAAGAGCGAATCATTACCCCCAGCTGCCCCAACACCAACAGTCACAACGAAGAGTGGACGGGCCAGTAAACCGTCAACGCCATCATTGGCAACATTTCAAGAGGCGGCGCCACCCCGATCACGCTCATCAAGAAATAATGACGGTACAGGCACAGGAAAGAAGAACCAAAAGAAAGCTGGTCCCACTATTCATGCTACTGTTGCTCAGCTGGCAGACGAAGATACAAACAGCAGTATGCAGGGCGACGAAGATGAAGCCGATATTGACGTAGATGAGCCGACATACTGTTACTGTAACGGAGTCAGTTACGGCGAAATGGTAGCGTGCGATGCTGATGAGTGCCCTCGCGAATGGTTCCATTTAGAATGTGTTGGACTCAAGGTTGCGCCAACATCAAAAGGTGAGTTTATTACCAGAACAACCGAACCAGTCAAGAATTGAAAAGCTAACTAAGTATAGCAAAATGGTATTGCGAAGACTGCAAGGAACGCCTCAAAATGGGCGGCAAAAAGTCCAATGGCAGATAGAAGAAACCCAAAAGACGATAGTTTGTCGATAGAAATTCAGGGGCCCAACGATTAGCGGTGGAACGAATTGCACTTTGTACTGCCCGGGAGAATAACGGGCTTGTGTATATGACAATGCATACGCATACATACCTACGGCGTTTCTTTTGTTTCTGGGAGAGTGGCGGAACTCGGTCTTACAGCACCCCATTGTGTCAGTGTTTAGAAAGGCATGCGCATCAAAATAATGGATTGAGTACCAGACACTGGATCCTAACCCGGGATGGCGATTTCCAATAACATACTATTAGCTTGGGTAGTCTGTGATTCATTAAAGGTACAGCTTAAGACATTGTACCTTGTGTTGGGAGACATCTATCTTTGGCCCGTTTCCAGTTCATGAGCAGGCTATCAAATACGGAACATGAGATCCTTTCTTCACGATGCCAATTGACCTTGCAGCTTCGAAAGGATGGTGATATCGGGATTAATGGATAGGAACGGCAGACTCGCATAGTCACGGTTTATGTAGCCGACGAGTGAACAACAACCGCGGCAACTTCTCTTATACAATTGTATCTGCAGTACTTTCAAATCATCTCTATTTTGATCATGACATGCATATCATCAAGTTTATCAACTTCAACACATGCCCAAATTCGCTAAATAACCACATCCGTCCATCTTTTGCAGAACTGAAGATATCAACTACCCCCGTCGTTTTGAAACCAAACGCCAAACCAAGGCCCAAACATATTTTCATCATCCCTTTATCTATCCATCTTTCTTTTATGATCGCAAGAATGTCTTGAATACTGGTGACTCGGTGCAGTCCTCGTAAGGATAACCGATCTTGCGCAAGAAGTTGTGAAGCTCGGTGACCTCTTCGTCAGGACATAATATTCCGGTAACGATCTTGCCGACGTCGCCGCCGTAGTTACGGTACTGGAACAAGCTGATGTTGAACTTGGGACGAAGTGTGACGAGGAACTTCTCAAGAGCTCCTGGTCTTTCGGGGAAGGTGAACATGTAAAGGCGCTCGTTGGGGACACCGGATCGTCCACCGACGAGATATCGGATATGGCTCTTGGCGAGTTCGTCGTTTGAGAGGTCTGTCACGGTCATGTTGTTTGATTGGATGCGATCGATGAGGGAGCGAAGTTCTTCGGATCGTTGGTGAGCGGGGGCTGTGAGTGAGACACCGATGAGGATGTTGGCGACTTCGTCTGTTGAGTAGCGGTAGCTGAACTCTGTGACACCGTGGGGCATGATGTTGTTGATGAGTTCGGAGAAGGCACCAGGGCGCTCGGGGATCTGGACAGAAAGAAGAGCTTCCTTGCCCTCACCCATGGTAGCACGCTCAGCGACGAATCTCAGGCGATCAAAGTTCATGTTGGCGCCCGAAGTAATAGCGATGAGGTTGCGCTTCGAATCGTCCGAGGGGTTCTGACTAACGTATTTCTTGAGACCGGCAATGGAAAGAGCACCGGCTGGTTCGAGACCTGAACGGGTGTCGTCGTACATGTCCTTGATAGCAGCGCAGATCTCATCGGTTGACACTTCGATAACGTCGTCGATGACCTCCTTGCAGATACGGAAAGTCTCCTCTCCGGGGATCTTGACAGCGGCGCCGTCAGCGAACAGGCCGACTTCCTTGAGAAGAACACGCTCGCCCTTCTTCAGCGATTGCGCCATGGCGTTGGCATCGTGAGCCTCGACACCAATGATCTTGACGTGGGGAGCCATGCGCTTGACATAGAGACCGATTCCAGCAATGAGACCGCCACCGCCGACACAGCAAAAGATGGCCTCTACCTTGGCCATGTTGACCTGACCGAACAACTCGTTTCCGATAGTGCCCTGGCCAGCAATGACATAAGGGTCATCAAAAGGAGGAATATTGATGAGTCCATCTTGGACCTCTCTTCGTGCACACTCCTCCTTGGCGGCGTCAAAATCAGCGCCGTGCAATACCACATGACCACCAAGACGGGCGACATTGAGATGCTTGATACTAGGAGTCGCTTCGGGCATGACGATGGTCGCGGGAATCTTGAGCTTGCGGGCAGAGTAGGCGACGCCCTGGGCATGGTTACCGGCGGAGCAGCAGACTACACCCTTCCAGCTCTTCTTGGGGTCGAGATGAGCCATCTTGTTGTAAGCGCCGCGCAGCTTGAAGCTGAATACGGGCTGCTCGTCTTCACGCTTGAGGAGGACATTGCATTCGAGTCGGTTGCTCAGGTTGATGGCGTGGGTGAGGGGAGTGATCTTGCAGGCCTCGTAAACTCGAGAAGTAGCGCTGGCGATGAGACGAAGGTACTGAGTATCATTGCTGTTAGCTTCCCAATTGATACCATATCATAAAGTATAAAACTAACGTCAGGGTATCCAGTAGGAAGAAGGTATTCTTCAGGAACAATCTCTCTGAGGCGGGCCTGCTTCTCTGCGGATGGTGTCGAGGGGTTTGCGCTGTACTCAGTCAAGGCCATTCCGGTCATCGGCGTTTGCGGACGAGATTCGCCATTTGTGCCATTGACGGCGCCGTTGGCAGGGACGGCCACGATGGGATCAGCAGAAGGCATCGTGAGTGTGTGAAGAAGTAGAAGAAAAGTTGTATGAGAGAGAAACAAAGAAAGGTCGAGATATCTAGCGTTAGATTTAGGTAGTTGTCACCGCCGAAAGATCGGACCTGAAATTTTGTTGATTTCGCAGGTATGAGTCGATTGACACAGGGTGACGTAGATTGTGGAGTGTACAGCACCAGATAACAAGTCTCTCTACCAGGTACGAATATTACATTGGCGGACTCACCGAGGCCGATACAAGGCCGGTTATCGTCTGATATAAGACGTTTGGGTTACTTTTTGTTTCTGTGTTTACTTGTAAATATGGATAATGACCTGATTGATTGCTACGAGAAGCAATAGCCAACAGGGGATTTCTATTCAACATTCTCAACTATTTGTACCATGTTTAAATTACCTTTCTCTCTTTGGTATGGAGGGGTTGGTGCAGGGTCCGTGGGGTTCGATATCGGAGGTCATATTCGCCTATTCTATCTATTCACCCAGAAGAGTAGAGTACAATGTTACACCATGTTATTCAAAAGGCGTTCCAAACGCGTATTAGACAATTACACAAGACATTTAAGAAAACATGAATTTATTCATATCATCTCTTAAATCAAATTATTGCTAATCAATCAACTCCCAAACTCCAAACTTCCTTTTCTTATCCTTTACTTTCGTACAACTTCATCATATGATGGTGGTGGTGCTTCTCTTGCGATGTGCTGCTGGTTGATGGCATCCAACTCATAGAGACCATCCTTAGTCTCTTCCTGAAAGCTCCTTGCAACAGGGACACTCTCGACTTGAGGCTGTCCAACAAGACCAACTCTCTGTGCTCCTGACTTGACCATCATAGCACCAGCCTGGTACCTCTCAGCCCTCTGAAGATTCCTGTTTGCCTGTTGTTCTGCGCGGAGCTGGGAGCGATCAGCGCGCTGTAGTTGTCTTTGGGCGCGACGTTCCATCTTGCGCTGGTGGCATGAAGATCGGCCCGCGTAGTTTGTGTATCCAGGGTTGGGTGAAGCTGTGTAGATTTGTTGGTTTTGGTTTTGGCGACTGTAGCAACCGCCTGAGCGGGTACCATTGTCTTCTTGGCTGGCGAAGATGGCGCTGACAGCAAGAACAAGACCGATGAGACCCATGATGACTGTTGGTAAGAATGAAGCAAGGATGAAGTTATGAGTAGAGATGTTTATAAGTGTTGAGCTTGGTAATTGTAGAGTAGCTGATGTTCTTGTATTGATGATATTATTCCTTCTTGGGGGAGAACCCATACTCTTATATCTTGAGATGCTATGGTTCTCTCCAAATGAAGCTATCCCTAAACTGCACTTTCATTCGAGATACAACGTAGCTATGCGAATGCGCAGCCACCTTCAGCGTAACCACTGTAGCTGGAATGGTACGCCCAAACCTTCTTAGCGTATTTATGTAAAGGTTGTCGCGAGCCACCCAGCCACCCAGCCAATCTGCCTCGCTGAATGGTTCGGATTCGTCTTGTGCTAGCGTTGGGGCAGAGTAACTGCTATTAATGATGTCAAGTTCTACCTATCCTCAAGATTTGACTTTGGGCATTGAGGCTTCTGGAGCGATGCGAGTGCGGGATGCGACGTAAGTTAGCCATCTTCACCTTAGACTGACACCGAGAAATAGCAACATTGCGGTTCTCAGCTGGTTTGATTCAATGCATTAGCTAAATCCTGAGCTGTTTCTATAATCTGCTATCTATCGCGATCTATCATGTCTATCATCCCTAACAAATATGTTTCCATCATAAGCGTAAAATATTATAATCATCAAAATGCCCGGGAAAGTTCCCAATATGCTCTAAGCAATGCGATTCCTCCGACCTGCGTTTCCACAGTTCGACCTCGACCCCGTGTATTAGGGTCGTTTACTCCTCGAGTTGATACTCTGCGAGCCCTAGGAAGGAGTCTATCCCCAGCAACGTCCATAACTTGCTGGTCGGGTTTTGACTCCAACGATGACAAGCCTCCTGTTCCTGGAATCCACCTGTGGCGTCCTCCCCACGTTTCACCCGCTGGCGTTCCTCGGTTGCGGTAATCAGTTGAGTTCTCGGCGTCGTGCTTGATACCATCGTTGTCCAACGTGACGCTTGCGTCAAAGATGCCAGCACCCCACCACATACCGAAAAGACCAGCATCATCTCGTGTTTCAAGGGCTGCTAGGGCATTGTGCTTGACCCAGCCCAAATACGATTGACAAGCTTTTGCATGGATAGACTTGACTTTCTTAAAGCCATGGGGATCGACTATCCTGCCATTTCGACCCCTGAGTGGTTCAAGTGGGCTGCAGAATGTTGTAAAGTGGTGGAAGAAGATACCCTTGAATGCCTGGCCATCTTGGGAGCAGGTGCTGCTAGCATCACATTGTTCTTCTAAGATTCCTCCTCGTCCAAGCCCACGCCAGGGTGGTAGCTGACCGGGACCTAGGCGGGTTGTATCATCTGAGGGCTTGTCGCCTTTCAAATTCCATCCCGTCGCTTCAATCACGGACTGGATCAAGCGATGGCCATCTTCCAGGTACGATGCACTACCACTAACAGACCAGAGTCCTCTTTGGCCTGTTAGCAAGACACCCTGGTTGTACGTGTACACCATCTCGTCTCGAACGTCGCACTTTGTGTTGCCGGGCTTACTACTGTCAATATGATATCCATCGACAAAAAGGCCGCGGGAGTTGGTCATGTTGACGTCTATGAGCCACTTGTATCCCTCAATGGCGGCCTCAAGATGTGCCGGGTCGTTATCCGGGAACACAGCATTGTTGAGCCATGGAGCAGTGAAGTTGTCGCCAGGGAAGTGTTCGTACATGGAAATCGAGGCAGAAATCCATAGTTCGTTGGTGATGGCGTTTTTGTAAGGGTTCAGACGAGGATTCCAGACCATGCCTCCATTGCAGAATTTCGTTTCCCAACCGTGAGTTGCCAAGTTCCAGAAGATGCGAGAGCGGTGCGCAAATGACGAGAACCAGTTGTAACCCTGCCATGGCATAGCATCAATCATGTCCTTTAGATTATTGGAAGCGGCCCCCTTTGACTTAATCTTGGGATAGTGAAGTTCAGCATGTGTGTTGACGAATTTGATGGCTTCGATCCAGCCAAGAACCACCCACAGAATGTCATCATAGGCCTGCGATATCACGTCAGTAAGCGTTACATTTATTGTAGTATTTGTACCGTTACTCACCTGTCCTCGAAGCGACAGGACGTCTTGTCCAAAGTACGAACCAACGAGTTGTGCATAGAAAGTGGAAATAATATTCTCCTTCACTCTCCAATCATCGACACCAGCCAGATCGACAGTGTTGATGGCCTTGGACAAAGTTGTCAACATTCCAGCTACAACTGTTCCCGTCACAGCTGCAGTCCAGTCGATAGCAGAGGGCCATGTCGCATAATCTGGTTCAAAAAAGGCGTTCTGCAATGTTGAGAGAGCACCAAGAGCATCTTCGAGAATCTGTGTCTCGGCAGGAGAAGGGTCTGATTTCTTTGGTGAGAAACTTAGAAATGTTTCTGGAATTGCACGACAGTTTGTTGGTTGTTCAGTGTATATGATAGGGCAGTAATCTTGCTGTGCGCTCTCACGACTGGGCGCAGCTGAGATGGGCTTGGTTATCGCAAGTACACTGGCGACGCCAGCAGCGACTTTGAGCCACGCCATTGGAGCCATGAAGGCTCTCGAAATAGCTGATTTTCAGATTCTTGGCGTTTATTGTAGTAGATCAGAAAAACTTGGTTGGATCAGGCCGCGTGGTTTTCATGAGATAAGTTGATCCATGTCATGTATGTATGGTGGCGATGCGATCTCGGCGTATATGAAGATACAAGATAAGCTAGATTTTAGGAAGGTACAGAACAGGTTCAACAGAGAAATAAGAAGAGAAAGGAAGGAAAAGGCCAAGAGTAATATATTCACATGAGAAAGGAGAAAAGGCCGCAAGTTTTGCGACAGTATTGAATCAGTGTCAAGTTTGTTTGCCAGTCAGGATTTAAAGTCGACAAGGTGTAACAGAACAGGCGATCTGCCCCACCACGAAACGAATCAAGCAGGTCACAAGATGGGTTCTAGAATATTGTGCTAAAGGTTGAAGAAACGGTGAGAAGTTGAGGCTTATTCGAGTCATGATAAAACTATAGTAGCAGATATTGACCCAAGAGGGGACAGCAAAAGCCTCAGTCGCGATTCCTCGGTTTGATCAAGCAAGACAAGTCTTGAATTCACGATAGGCGGGTAGCCACATTAATAAACTTCGCTTGTCAGTGGGGAAACTCGTTTCATGGTTAATTAAATTCAACGGATTTAATTATTAAATAATAATACGCAAGAAGGAGAACCCCTGGAAGAGTCAACAAAAGACTACAATGTTTGTTATTGACACAAACTGGTTCTCAACTTTAGGTTAGCCGTGATGGATGCACAAAGAAACACGACTGCGAACTGTGACTACACGCTTTGGACCTGCAGCGTGAATGTGGAATTGAACTGGAACCAGCCCCGCGGCCAACAGGGCTTTGGTTTGACGGCCCATGCCAACCAATCATTATTCGAGACATGGATCAGATCTAGCGGTCTTAAGGCTCCAAAACCCAAATTCAAGTGGCTGGTAGCAGCTGCCAAAGTGGATCAACATGGCGCTTTGTTTACTTTTGTCCAAAAACAGTCGTGACCCCTTCCTTCCTAAACACACTTGATAAACCTGGGTTGGATATCTCTTTCTCTCCACTAATTCACTGTCATTGTCACTTCCATTCTTACATCTTATTTGGTTTCTTATTTTTCACGCCTTTTCTTGACGCGTGTCTACTCACCAGATGTATCGCAGTCTTTAGTCGACATATTATTGACTTCAACTAACCATTATCACCCACCTCACAACACGGACCCGACGGACGCTCTTATACGCGCCACGGGTGCTGTCGCATCCATCCTCGCTTAATTAATATCGTCACATTCTCAAACCTCTTCATTCACTCACGCACACAACACAACGCGTGAGAAGGAACTATGGAGGCCGACACCGCCACCCGATATCGTTCCCGCATTCTTAGAGAAATGAAAGCAAACCGCGATAACCCATTCAACTCCCCGCCATCATCCACCGGTTCCCACGGCACCGTTAGCCCAACAGTTTCTTCCGTCTTTTCTGACCCTGACGGCGAGTCTACACGGAGACTCAACGAAGATATTGCTCGCGTTACTGCTCCTCGCAACCTACCTATCAATTGGGAGGCTGCCCACCGCAAGTGGCCCGAGTTCTTTGGTGCTCCCAAGACACGCGAAGTGCCTGTTTACGACGACGACACTGACACTCGACCTATGAGCGCCGAGTCAAAGGAGAACAAGCCTCCTGCTATCAAGTTCCAAATCGACGACATTACACAAAACACCTGGCAAGGTTCCGCTAGAACGCGTTCCGAGATGCAGCCTCGTGTCGATGACGGGTCTGATCTATCATCAATACTCTCCAAGTCTCCTGCACGAGCGCACTCTTATCATTCTTGGCACAAGAACATACATAACCCCAGCCCACTATCCAAGGTTCATAACCGAGTGTCTTCCGAATCAATGGCTGGCGAACAACAGCAAAGAGAATCTCTATCAGATGCGCTGGACCGTCTACGCAGAGGGGCAAGAAGCCCTGATCTTCAAAACCAGGACCAGCAAAAGTCATCACCAAATATGTCTTCCGCCAAGTCCAGCTTGACTGCTGTACCCCCATCACCCGTATCTCTCGCTAGCCCTGCCTACAACGAGAGCAATGCCCGCTCTTTCTTCATGCCCGACATCTCCCACCTTGGTGATTTCGTCGATGGCACACTTCGATTCACCGGCTCTATGAGAAACGGAGTTCCCATTTTTGTCAAGAATGGTAGAGTTCATGATCGTTTTGAGAAACCATCTCTCGCCGCTCATGCTGAAGTTGACGAGGTTGATGTGCCTGAAGACGAAGAGAAGATCTTTGTGTCGATGGACATGATCCGTGACGAGATAAATTCTCTTCAAGAGCACTACGATAAGGTCCACGAATATGCCGAGAACCTGCAGCAGCAGGTTGAGCGACTGGAGGCTCAGCTGAAGTCACGAAAGTCTTTCGACAACGACTATGACTCTTCTCGAGC